AAGAGGCTACGTCTCTTAAACATAAATTGATAAAGGTATTCTGAGACTTCCATTGACAGCTCATGACTACTCTCTCAACTGATACCGAACCCCATGCAGCAGAAGATGCTAAGGCCATAATCTCATGAGGGAAAAGGTAGATGTGCATTGTAAGTACCATCTAAGAACTCGGATCGGGCATAGTAACCTTGCTCTATCGCACCTTGAAGCAGTGGCAGGAAGGGCTGGTATTTCATAAGATCTGTGTCCCAAAGGACCCGCAGCGGCTGACTGATTCTTGGCTGCGAACTCTGGTACTGTCCCTAAAGACATCGACTTATAACCCTCAGCAAGGGCAATAGATTTAACATCAATTACATGCAACTATGATTCTCTTGAGGCCATGACGAAGGCAAGGAGGAAAGCTGTCTTGAAACTCATATATTTCAGAGAGGTATCTTGCATAGGTTCAAAAGGGTATCTCGGTAGAGCTTGTAATACTAAGCATTTTCCAAAGCGGAAGTCGAAGGGGCTTGTCTGTCAACAGATGTAGAAGATCCGTGAACCACGCCCTGGGTGGCCATGCTGGAGCTACCAGATAACCTACACAGTTGTGTTGTGCAATCTTGGCTAGTCCTTCCGGAATTAACTTGAAAGGAGGAAACGCATAAGCTATGAGATTCTCCCATGATATTGATAGGTCGTAGGATCCGGAACAGGACTCACAAATATTGGTAGTCTGTTGTTTCTTGACGTCGCAAACAGATCTATGGATGGCATCTCCCAATTGAATGCTTCCATATTCAGAGTCCACTCCGTTGCCACAACCCTGCCCTGCCTGGAGATGGAATCGGCTTATATGTTCACCTTGCTGAGAATGGCTCCCAGATACTTGACCCTTGACATGGGTTATAGTTCTGACAGGATGTTCTATGAGACCGAGATGGGTCATGGATTGCTGGCCAGCAGTAGGCTGGGAGATGAAGGCCGGGGTTGTGGCTTGCTGGCCAGCAGTAGGCTGGGAGATGAAGGCCGGGGTCGTGGCTTGCTGGCCAGCAGTAGGCTGGGAGATGAAGGCCGGGGTCATGGCTTGCTGGCAAGCAGTAGGCTGGGAGATGAAGGCCAGGGGTCGTGGCTTGCTGGCCAGCAGTAGGCTGGGAGATGAAGGCCGGGGTCGTGACTTGCTCGCCAACAGTAGGCTGGGAGATGAAGGCCGGGGTCGTGGCTTGCTGGCCAGCAGTAGGCTGGGAGATGAAGGCCGGGGTCGTGGCTTGCTGGCCAGCAGTAGGCTGGGACATGAAGGCCGGGGACACGTGATCAGTCCCGCTAACCAGCTGAAGCCCATTCCCCACGTGGGACAAGGTGGCAGGCTTTGTGTGACTGGGAGGCTTGCTCCCAGAGACAATAGGCATGGCTTGTGTTGCCTGATCAGCGAACAAAGCTTGCCTGGGGTCAACTAGGTTGATCTCGTTCTCCGCATGTGGGGTCAGCTCTCCGGTCGGGACAGTAAGTGATACCCAGCTTTCCCAGGTAGAACTTCTAAAGCCTTCACAGTACTGACAGATGAACCGGCCTTTCCCCTCGTCAAACAGTCAGTATTATTCATAGACATATTGCCGTGATCAATACTCTCTTGATGCAGGTAGATTCTAACAAAATAGACAATAATGTGTAGCAAATACGATTGTCACAAGGACCAAATGTCGACACCACTAACGGACAAGAGATGGATCAGTGTTGGAGACTGTACGTGTGTACTGTAGACCATACAGAAAAATAGTGAGGTTTTTCAAACAATGGTGTGATGTCATGTCAAGAGGAGGTAACTCTATCGTTTAGGAGGGAGGCATGCCCATAAGGGATAGGTATGACTTAGGGTTAACATTTTCATTTCATTTTCTGTAGTGTCTGTGGAAACCACATAATTAAGGCAACCATAATCCAGAGGGAATGTTACCGCTATAATTAAGTATTGTTTGAGATTGAGGTTAGAAATGTTTTTGTTCGTGGAAAGGGAAGAGTTCGCACAAACATAACACTGAAATCGAAATGCACGCATTCAGGCATAAATTGCTGGCTTAAATGGCAATCATTCACTTGTTTTCTGAACACAGCAGCTATGGCTAGGACCGCCAGTCGCCAGGACCGTCATATCATCCATAAACACCTGCAAGGCCGATTCGCAAGAGCCACAGAAACAGCTCTGGGGACCATAGGAAACCACCAGCGACCAGTCAGTGACCGAACCATTAGGCGACGTCTCCAAGCCTGGAACCTGTTTTCATTAAACCACTTCCTAACACAATCTCCAGCGACGTTTCTTTTGCCTTTCAGTATATAAGTGTTCATTTACATCTATCAAGCAGTAAGGGTCACATGACTCACCTGGGTCTTGCACAGTCCACAGATGTTTCTGTTCAGAATGTGTTCAGGTGAAACACAGACAGTGTAGGTCAGATTATGTGAAGCTTTATTGAATAAAAGTGGTGACAATACATTGGATCAACCAGTAAATACCATTTCCCCAGAAGATGGGATATAAGACTTTCAGTGTAATTATGAAACAATGATATATTTTACAAATAACTATCTGTACATATTAAAACTCTGTCATATTACAAAACAAAAACTACCGGGGAAACAAGCCTATCCAGGTTGATGTGTATCATTATTTCACATAAATATTGTATATCAGAAATACATGTATATACAAACACCTCCTTTTATGATACACATTCTTCAACACAGACTTGCGTGGCGTGTCCTTTACAAAGTGTGTTACATGGCGAGTGAGTGAGCTTAGTTTTACGCCACTTTTATCAACTTGGACTTCACACATTGTACCCATGTGTTGAATTGAACCCTGGCTTCACAAGTCAACGCTTTAACCACTTCAAGTTTATTTCTCAGTGAGAGATCAGTGAATGGGTCATGGACAATTCTCATATCTGCAGTGTGTTATAAGCAATATATTCTTAAGCAAAATCCGATTTGGGAAATAATAATAATTTCTGAAAAATGTCAGTATTCAAGTATTCAGATTTGTGTGTGCTTTTGTGAGATTACACTTTATTTAGCTCTCTGAATAAACTGAGATGTTCTTTGTGTGTGTGCTCATGTGTGTAGGGTTAGAGAACACCTGATGTGGTCAATAGATTCTGAATTCATTAGATTGGGCAAATACTTCAACTACCTTGCAAGAGAACACAACTTATAAAATATATTAACAACTGGCAAATGTATTTCCACAATGCACAACAAATGTTGACTTGTCTTGAACTGCAGACCTTCGCACAGGCTGATTGTAATGGTCAACAGAGAAACACCAGGCTGATTGTAACGGTCAACAGAAAAACACCAGCCTGATTGTAACGGTCAACAGAGAAACACCAGGCTGATTGTAACGGTCAACAGAGAAACACCAGGCTGATTGTAACAGTCAACAGAGAAACACCAGCCTGATTGCTAGGTCAACAGAGAAAAACCAGGCTGATTGTAACGGTCAACAGAGAAACACCAGCCTGATTGTAACGGTCAACAGAGAAACACCAGGCTGATTGTAATGGTCAACAGAGAAACACCAGGCTGATTGTAACGGTCAACAGAGAAACACCAGGCTGATTGTAACGGTCAACAGAGAAACACCAGGCTGATTGTAACGGTCAACAGAGAAACACCAGCCTGATTGTAACGGTCAACAGAGAAACACCAGCCTGATTATAACGGTCAACAGAGAAACACCAGGCTGATTGTAACGGTCAACATAGAAACACCAGCCTGATTGTAACGGTCAACAGAGAAACACCAGCCTGATTGTAACGGTCAAAAGAGAAACACCAGGCTGATTGTAACGGTCAACAGAAAAACAAATGAAAGATCACTGTGCAGCTAAAAACATGAACCCTGTAAGGAAAGTGAGCAAGCCTTCTATTGCAACGTGGAGTATACTTAGTTGAACCTCTTTAATACAGACTTGTGACAGACTGAAGTGTATTCCTGTAATGGAGAGTGGTCCAGATCAGAGCAGGATGAACCAGTCACTCTAACATCCAGTGGCATCTAGTCTGATTCCAGATACAGCAGGTTCTACTGTACAGAGAACATGGAGAAACCACTGGTGTTCTCCATACAGTCCACAGACACCCTGGATCTAACCATCCACAAAAACAAGATACAGCAAGCTATTTACAGTGCACAAACACATGCAGAAAATATTGCAACAATACGACCTGTAAATAATATACTCTGGTTTGGGTGTCTGATCCACAGAGTGTTCCTAGCAGTACAAATAAACTATATAGTGACACCAGCTTGTAACGCTCTGAGGATTAGGACCAGTGCATGAAGGTATAAGTGCTGTCAAATCGGTCTAGGGTGAAACGAGCCCGCTAAATCACAGTAGTAAGTGTTGTTTCATGATCTCTTACAGACAATATTCAATATTCTGGAGGGGGCTGAGATTTGGGATAATATTTATAAAAGTAGAACAAACAAGAAATCGTTAAACCATAAAATATCTTTGGCATTTTCTCGAACTGATTCACAGAACAATGTCCAGGATTCTCCCAGAATGAAAGTTCCATCCTTTACAACGTGCGGTGATACATGGCACATTACTGATCCCAGTTTCATGATTGAGTTTGAACAAGATAATAGGTTATTAAATCAAATGAAAATATTCACATTTAGGGATACTACTGAAACAATTAAGTTGATAACAACATTTTAGCAAATGGAATCTGTTTTGTGGGAAGATAGAGACTGGCTATTTGTCTGTGTTGACGTTTACGTATAATTTAATGTATAAACTTGGCAAGATGTCAACCTAATTTTTTTCTTTTATCTGTTATTGGAAAACAATGTTTGTGTGGGCTATGGTTAAAATAGGACAACAACTGGTTGACATACATGAACATAAAATATCTGTTGTCAGACAACAGATTATAAAACAACCTGTTGTCTGACCAGAATAAAAAAATCGCAGCCAATGTATTGTTCACAAGTACAAAATAAATATTTGTTCCATGGTCATAGTTTGACACAGCTGTTGGGAATTATACCAAATTTGTTAGATTCCGCAAGACGAACTTGTACTCCATTTGTCATCTGTCGCACAAAGTGGACTTTCTGTCCAACCTCCACTGTCAGCTCACAAGGCATCTAAACAGACAAAAAACATGGTGTTATCAATCATGTAATAGTTAGGATAATCAATACAAGAAACTTTGTACAATAATAACAAGATCAACTAACAAGAAATGTTCATATTATTAACATCTTTGTACATGCCTTTATTTACAAAATGAAATCCTGTAAGGGGAAGAATCGCTGACTTGATAGACCAGCCAGGTTCTCCTACACTGGCCAGGTTCTCCTACACTGGCCAGGTTCTCCTACACTGGCTAGGTTCTCCTACACTGGCCAGGTTCTCCTACACTGGCCAGGTTCTCCTACACCATCTAGGTTCTCCTACACCATCTAGGTTCTCCTACACCAGCTAGGTTTTCCTACACTGGCCAGGTTCTCCTACACCAGCTAGGTTCTCCTACACCATCTAGGTTCTCCTACACCATCTAGGTTCTCCAACATCAGCCAGGTTCTCCTACACCATCTAGGTTCTCCTACATCAGCTAGGTTCTCCTATACTGGCTAGGTTCTCCAACACCATCTAGGTTCTCCTACACCATCTAGGTTCTCCTACATCAGCTAGGTTCTCCTACACCATCTAGGTTCTCCAACACCATCTAGGTTCTCCTACATCAGCTAGGTTCTCCTACACCGGCTACGTCCTCCTACACCGGCTAGGTTCTCAGACACCAGCTAGGTTCTCCGACACCATCTAGGTTCTCCTACATCAGCTAGGTTCTCCTACATCAGCTAGGTTCTCCTACATCAGCTAGGTTCTCCTACACCAGCTAGGTCCTCCTACACTGGCTAGGTCCTCCTACACCGGCTAGGTTCTCCTACATCAGCTAGGTTCTCCTACACCGGCTAGGTTCTCCTACACAGGCTAGGTTCTCCTACACCAGCTAGGTCCTCCTACACTGGCTAGGTCCTCCTACACCGGCTAGGTTCTCCTACATCAGCTAGGTTCTCCTACACCGGCTAGGTCCTCCTACACCGGCTAGGTCCTCCTACACCGGCTAGGTTCTCCTACACCGGCTAGGCCCTCCTACACCGGCTAGGTCCTCCTACACCGGCTAGGTTCTCCTACACCGGCTAGGTTCTCCTACACCGGCTAGGTTCTCCTACACCGGCTAGGTTCTCCTACACTGGCTAGGTCCTCCTACACCAGCTAGGTACTCCTACACCAGCTAGGTCCTCCTACACCGGCTAGGTCCTACTACACCAGCTAGGTCCTCCTACACCAGCTAGGTTCTCCTACACTGGCTAGGTTCTCCTACACCGGTTAGGATATCATATTTTGAATACAACATCAAAAGACAGAAAACAACATTGTCTATTTCATACTCATGCTTAATATTAAATCCATGAACTGAAGTGAGTATTTTCTTAAGGAATTCAGAATGAAATCCCATATTAACACGTCATTTATAATATACACATATATTTAGTGAGGTATTTGTAGTGACACAGAAGTTTGTATATTGAGTGGTAAGTGCAGTGGAACTGTTGCCGCGAACACCTGATAGACAAAGGTGGAGATGGTATGTTAGACTGAGACAGAATACATATAGAAGAAACAAGCTGGTAGTTACTTGATGTGAATTGTGCTTCTTGTACTGCAGAGGTAGCATGTTAGACTGCGACAGAATACATATAGAAGATACAAGCTGGTAGTTACTTCATGTGAATTGTGCTTCTTGTACTGCAGAGGTAGCATGTTAGACTGCGACAGAATACATATAGAAGAAACAAGCTGGTAGTTACTTCATGTGAATTATGCTTCTTGTACTGCAGAGGTAGCATGTTAGACTGCGACAGAATACGTAGTGAAGACACAAGCTTGTAGTTACTCAGTTAAATCAAGCAACTCTCAAGGCCTTTTGAAAGAGTACAGGTACTCTTTTCATGGTAACTCAAATGTCTAAAAGACAAGTCATTTTCTTAAAACCCAGCATGAAGACAGGAAAGCCAGCATGTGATTCATTAACTGAGGTAGTGTGCACATTCCTGATATTCCGGACAGTCAGACACAAAACTGTATTTGCATTTGAGCTGCTATTGTCAAACTACTTGCACACTGAAGGATGCCATACTCAACTCTACCCACCTGGAGCTACTATTGTCAAACTACTTGCACACTGAAGGATGTCATTGTCAACTCTACCCACCTGGAGCTACTATTGTCAAACTACTTGCACACTGAAGGATGATATTGTCAACTCTACCCACCTGGAGCTACTATTGTCAAACTACTTGCACACTGATGAATGCTATTGTCAACTCTACCCACCTGGAGCTACTTTTGTCAAACTACTTGCACACTGAAGGATGCTATTGTCATCTCTACCCACCTGGAGCTGCTATTGTGAAACTACTTGCACACTGAAGGATGCTATTGTCATCTCTACCCACCTGGAGCTACTTTTGTCAAGCTACTTGCACACTGAAGGATGCTATTGTCATCTCTACCCACCTGGAGCTGCTATTGTGAAACTACTTGCACACTGAAGGATGCTATTGTCAACTCTACCGACCTGGAGCTACTATTGTCAAACTCCTTGCACACTGAAGGATGCCATTGTCAACTCTACCGACCTGGAGCTACTATTATCAAACTCCTTGCACACTGAAGGCTGCTATTGTCATCTCTACCGACCTGGAGCTACTATTGTCAAACTCCTTGCACACTGAAGGATGCCATTGTCAACTCTACCGACCTGGAGCTACTATTGTCAAATTCCTTGCACACTGAAGGATGCCATTGTCAACTCTACCGACCTGGAGCTAATATTGTAAACTACTTGCACACTGAAGGATACTATTGTCAACTCTACCCACCTGGAGCTGCTATTGTCAAACTACTTGCACACTGAAGGATGCTATTGTCATCTCTACCCACCTGGAGCTACTATTGTCAAACTACTTGCACACTGAAGGATGGTATTGTCATCTCTACCCACCTGGAGCTGCTATTGTCAAACTACTTGCACACTGAAGGCTGCTATTGTCAACTCTACCCACCTGGAGCTAATATTGTAAACTACTTGCACACTGAAGGATACTATTGTCAACTCTACCCACCTGGAGCTGCTATTGTCAAACTACTTGCACACTGAAGGATGCTATTGTCATCTCTACCCACCTGGAGCTACTATTGTCAAACTCCTTGCACACTGAAGGATGGTATTGTCATCTCTACCCACCGGGAGCTGCTATTGTCAAACTCCTTGAACACTGAAGGATGCTATTGTCATCTCTACCCACCTGGAGCTGCTATTGTCAAACTCCTTGCACACTGAAGGATGCTATTGTCATCTCTACCCACCTGGAGCTAATATTGTAAACTACTTGCACACTGAAGGCTGCTATTGTCATCTCTACCCACCTGGAGCTACTATTGTCAAACTACTTGCACACTGATGGATGCTATTGTCAACTCTACCCACCTGGAGCTGCTATTGTCAAACGCCTTGCACACTGAAGGATGCTATACTCAACTCTACCCACCTGGAGCTGCTATTGTCAAACTACTTGCACACTGAAGGATACTATTGTCAACTCTACCCACCTGGAGCTGCTATTGTCAAACTCTTTGCACACTGAAGGATGCTATTGTGATCTCTACCCACCTGGAGCTAATATTGTAAACTACTTGCACACTGAAGGCTGCTATTGTCATCTCTACCCACCTGGAGCTGCTAGTGTAAATCTACTTGCACACTGATGGATGCTATTGTCAACTCTACCCACCTGTAGCTGCTATTGTCAAACTTCTTGCACACTGAAGGATGCTATACTCAACTCTACCCACCTGGAGCTACTATTGTCAAACTCCTTGCACACTGAAGGATGCCATTGTCAACTCTACCCACCTGGAGCTGCTATTGTCAAACTACCTGCACACTGAAGGATGCTATTGTCAACTCTACCCACCTGGAGCTGCTATTGTCAAACTACTTGCACACTGAAGGATGCTATACTCAACTCTACCCACCTGGAGCTACTATTGTCAAACTACTTGCACACTGAAGGATACTATTGTCAACTCTACCCACCTGGAGCTGGTATTGTCAAACTACTTGCACACTGAAGGATGCTATTGTCAACTCTACCCACCTGGAGCTGCTATTATCAAACTTCTTGGACACTGAAGGATGCTATACTCAACTCTACCCACCTGGAGCTACTATTGTCAAACTACTTGCACACTGAAGGATGCTATACTCAACTCTACCCACCTGGAGCTACTATTGTCAAACTACTTCCACACTGAAGGATACTATTGTCAACTCTACCCACCTGGAGCTGCTATTGTCAAACTACTTGCACACTGAAAGATGCTATTGTCAACTCTACCCACCTGGAGCTCCTATTGTCAAACTACTTGCACACTGAAGGATACTATTGTCAACCCTACCCACCTGGAGCTGCTATTGTCAAACGCCAAGCACACTGAAGGCTGCTATTGTCATCTCTACCCACCTGGAGCTAATATTGTAAACTACTTGCACACTGAAGGCTGCTATTGTCATCTCTACCCACCTGGAGCTACTATTGTCAAACTACTTGCACACTGATGGATGCTATTGTCAACTCTACCCACCTGGAGCTGCTATTGTGAAACTACTTGCACACTGAAGGCTGCTATTGTCAACTCTACCCACCTGGAGCTGCTAGTGTCAATCTACTTGCACACTGATGGATGCTATTGTCAACTCTACCCACCTGTAGCTGCTATTGTCAAACTTCTTGCACACTGAAGGATGCTATACTCAACTCTACCCACCTGGAGCTACTATTGTCAAACTCCTTGCACACTGAAGGATGCCATTGTCAACTCTACCCACCTGGAGCTGCTATTGTCAAACGCCTTGCACACTGAAGGATGCTATACTCAACTCTACCCACCTGGAGCTGCTATTGTCAAACTACTTGCACACTGAAGGATGCTATTGTCAACTCTACCTACCTGGAGCTACTATTGTCAAACTCTACCCACCTGGAGCTACTATTGTCAAACTATTTCCACACTGAAGGATACTATTGTCAACTCTACCCACCTGGAGCTGCTATTGTCAAACTACTTGCACACTGAAAGATGCTATTGTCAACTCTACCCACCTGGAGCTGCTATTGTTAAACGACTTGCACACTGAAGGATGCTATTGTCAACTCTACCCACCTGGAGCTGCTATTGTCAAACGCCATGCACACTGAAGGCTGCTATTGTCATCTCTACCCACCTGGAGCTACTATTGTCAAACTCCTTGCACACTGAAGGCTGCTATTGTCAACTCTACCCACCTGGAGCTACTATTGTCAATCTCCCTGCACACTGAAGGATGCTATTGTCAACTCTACCCACCTGGAGCTACTATTGTCAAACTCCTTGCACACTGAAGGATGGTATTGTCAACTCTACCCACCTGGAGCTACTATTGTCAAACTACTTGCACACTGAAGGCTGCTATTGTCAACTCTACCCACCTGGAGCTACTATTGTCAAACTACTTGCACACTGAAGGATGTCATTGTCAACTCTACCCACCTGGAGCTAATATTGTAAACTACCTGCACACTGAAGGAAGCTATTGTCATCTCTACCCACCTGGAGCTGCTATTGTGAAACTACTTGCACACTGCTTGAATGCGTGGACTTATCGCCTGCAAGGGACTCACATTATGATGCAAGAAACCTAAAAGATCTGTTCTCACTCGCGTGAGCGCCTATCTGATACTGAACTACCTGAGGCAAGTTGATCTGTATCATAAACTGTAACTGTGAAATGTAACAACCATAAATTGTAACTATGAAATGTAACAAACCGCCTGCCTTTAAATTTGATGCTATGACTTTTTCTGCTTTTGAATGACAATGTAATCAATAAATGTCTTTGAAATAAAACTCATTCCGAGTATGTACTTACAATATTTACTAATGCAAACTTGTTTTCGTCACTATATGGCTGGAAAAATGCCGATGTGACGTAAAGCTCAACTCAACTCAACTCAACTGAAGGATGCTATACTCAACTCTACCCACCTGGAGCTGCTATTGTCAAACTACTTGCACACTGAATACTATTGTCAACTCTACCCACCTGGAGTTACTATTGTCAAACTCCTTGAACACTGAAGGATGCTATTGTCAACTCTACCCACCTGGAGCTAATATTGTAAACTACTTGCACACTGAAGGATGCTATTGTCATCTCTACCCACATGGAGCTACTATTGTCAAACTACTTGCACACTGAAGGATGCTATTGTCAACTCTACCCACCTGGAGCTACTATTGTCAAACTCCTTGCACACTGAAGGATGCCATTGTCAACTCTACCCACCTGGAGCTAATATTGTACACTACCTGCACACTGAAGGATGCTATTGTCATCTCTACCCACCTGGAGCTGCTATTGTCAAACGCCTTGCACACTGAAGGATGCTATACTCAACTCTACCCACCTGGAGCTGCTATTGTCAAACTACTTCCACACTGAAGGATACTATTGTCAACTCTACCCACCTGGAGTTACTATTGTCAAACTCCTTGCACACTGAAGGATGCTATTGTCATCTCTACCCACCTGGAGCTAATATTGTAAACTACTTGCACACTGAAGGATGCTATTGTCATCTCTACCCACATGGAGCTACTATTGTCAAACTCCTTGCACACTGAAGGATGCTATTGTCAACTCTACCCACCTGGAGCTGCTATTGTCAAACTACTTGCACACTGAAGGATGCTATTGTCAACTCTACCCACCTGGAGCTACTATTGTAAACTCCTTGCACACTGAAGGATGCTATACTCAACTTTACCCACCTGGAGTTACTATTGTCAAACTACTTGCACACTGAAGGATGCTATTGTCAACTCTACCCACCTGGAGCTACTATTGTCAAACTCCTTGCACACTGAAGGATGCCATACTCAACTCTACCCATCTGGAGCTACTATTGTCAAACTACTTGCACACTGAAGGATGCTATACTCAACTCTACCCACCTGGAGGTACTATTTTCAAACTCCTTGCACACTGAAGAATGGTATTGTCAACTCTACCCACCTGGAGCTACTATTGTCAAACGTCTTGCACACTGAAGGCTGCTATTGTCAACTCTACCCACCTGGAGCCACTTTTGTCAAACTACTTGCACACTGAAGGATGCCATTGTCAACTCTACCCACCTGGAGCTGCTATTGTCAAACTCCTTGCACACTAAAGGATGCTATTGTCATCTCTACCCACCTGGAGCTACTATTGTCAAACTACTTGCACACTGAAGGATACTATTGTCAACTCTACCCATCTGGAGCTACTATTGTCAAACTACTTGCACACTGAAGGATACTATTGTCAACTGTACCCACCTGAAGCTGCTATTGTCAAACTACTTGCACACTGAAGGATGCTATTGTCAACTCTACCCACCTGGAGCTACTATTGTCAAACTCTACCCACCTGGAGCTACTATTGTCAAACTACTTGCACACTGAAGGATACTATTGTCAACTGTACCCACCTGAAGCTGCTATTGTCAAACTACTTGCACACTGAAGGATGCTATTGTCATCTCTATCCACCTGGAGCTGCTATTGTCAAACTCCTTGCACACTGAAGGATGCCATACTCAACTCTACCCACCTGGAGCTGCTATTGTCAAACTACTTGCACACTGAAGGATGCTATTGTCAACTCTACCTACCTGGAGCTACTATTGTCAAACTCTACCCACCTGGAGCTACTATTGTCAAACTCCTTGCACACTGAAGGATGCTATTGTCAACTCTACCCACCTGGAGCTGCTATTGTCAAAGTACTTGCACACAGAAGGATGCCATACTCAACTCTACCCACCTGGAGCTGCTATTGTCAAACTACTTGCACACTGAAGGATGCTATTGTCAACTCTACCTACCTGGAGCTACTATTGTCAAACTCTACCCACCTGGAGCTACTATTGTCAAACTCCTTGCACACTGAAGGATGCTATTGTCAACTCTACCTACCTGGAGCTGCTATTGTCAAAGTACTTGCACACTGAAGGATGCTATACTCAACTCTACCCACCTGGAGCTCCATGTCATTGATTAACTAGATCAGTATAACATAACACAATACACACCTGTGCCAAATTGATAACTTGGGGATACACACTAGTTCATATAAAAATGATTTTAACAAGAAAGTTAACAGGCTCATGTTGTTTTTAATATCACAGAAAATATAATTTGATAGCATTTGTTGGAAACTAGAATATAATAAATCTCAGTTCATGCTGTGATTGTCAAAACAGAAATAAAGAGAAACATTTCCCCAATCACAGGTACCCTCTACTGTTATCGGAACCCATTGTCTGATTAACACTTAATCAAAAGCATATGTTTATGAATTGCTACAAAAAAGTGGTGATACTAGATGTTCATGACACAGTATAGATTGAAGCATGCCAGCAAAAACATTTATAAAACTAACACAGGAAAAATAACTTGGTTTCCGGACCCTGGAAAGCTTACGGAAACAAAATAGAAACTTAAGTTTCAATTAGGTTTCCGGACTGTTTCTCTACATTTCCTTCAAGTTTCCGGAAAATGGAAACTTACAAATTACCCAGTTTATAACCCAACACAGTATATATTGAAGAATACCAACAACAGAACTTTAGAACTCACCCAACACAGTATATATTGAAGTATATCAACAACAGAACTATAGAGCTAGCCCAACACAGTATATATTGAAGTATACCAACAACAGAACTATAGAACTCACCGAACACAGTATATATTGAAGTATACCAACAACAGAACTATAGAACTCACCCAACACAGTATATATTGAAGTATACCAACAACAGAACTATAGAACTAGCCCAACACAGTATATATTGAAGTATACCAACAACAGAACTATAGAACTCACCCAACACAGTATATATTGAAGTATACCAACAACAGAACTATAGAACTAGCCCAACACAGTATATATTGAAGTATACCAACAACAGAACTTTAGAACTCACCCAACACAGTATATATTGAAGTATATCAACAACAGAACTATAGAACTCACCCAACACAGTATATATTGAAGTATATCAACAACAGAACTATAGAGCTAGCCCAACACAGTATATATTGAAGTATACCAACAACAGAACGATAGAACTCACCCAACACAGTATATATTGAAGTATATCAACAACAGAACTATAGAGCTAGCCCAACACAGTATATATTGAAGTATACCAACAACAGAACTATAGAACTCACCGAACACAGTATATATTGAAGTATACCAACAACAGAACTATAGAACTCACCCAACACAGTATAGATTGAAGTATACCAACAACAGAACTATAGAACTCACCCAACACAGTATATATTGAAGTATACCAACAACAGAACTATAGAACTAGCCCAACACAGTATATATTGAAGTATACCAACAACAGAACTTTAGAACTCACCCAACACAGTATATATTGAAGTATATCAACAACAGAACTATAGAGCTAGCCCAACACAGTATATATTGAAGTATATCAACAACAGAACTATAGAGCTAGCCCAACACAATATATATTTAACTATATCAACAACAGAACTATAGAACTCACCCAACACAGTATATATTGAAGTATAATCAACAACAGAACTATAGAACTAGCCCAACACAGTATATATTGAAGTATACCAACAACAGAACTATAGAACTCACCCAACACAGTATATATTGTAGTATACCAACAACAGAACTATAGAACTCACCCAACACAGTATATATTGAAGTATACCAACAACAGAACTATAGAACTACATATCCAACGCCTGTGATGAGAGAATCATTGGAACATAAAGCCAATACACCACATTGATTAGTAGTAGAAAATATACTTCAAGTAACACAGTTCCAATATACCACATTAATTATTAGTAGTAGAAAATATACTTCAAGTAACACAGTTCCAATACACCACATTAATTATTAGTAGTAGAAAATATACTTCAAGTAACACAGTTCCAATATACCACATTAATTATTAGTAGCAGAAAATATACTTCAAGTAACACAGTTCCAATATACCACCATACAACAGAGTTGTCCAAATAGTTATAACTTTGAAATTGCTAGCTTTTTAACAATGAACTTTTGACATACATTTGGTTCTTCATTAAAATATCAAGCACATAGGCCGATCCAGGAACCCCCTGTGGGGCCTCGAGATAACTACCAACAGTTGTGACAATTAACTACCTGTTTAGTGTGGGGCCTCGAGATAACTACCAACAGTTGTGACAATTAACTACCTGTTTAGTGTAGGGCCTCGAGATAACTACCAACAGTTGTGACAATTAACTACCTGTTTAGTGTGGGGCCTCGAGATAACTACCAACAGTTGTGACAATTAACTACCTGTTTAGTGTGGGGCCTCGAGATAACTACCAACAGTTGTGACAATTAACTACCTGTTTAGTGTAGGGCCTCGAGATAACTACCAACAGTTGTGACAATTAATTACCTGTTTAGTGTAGGGCCTCGAGATAACTACCAACAGTTGTGACAATTAACTACCTGTTTAGTGTGGGGCCTCGAGATAACTACCAACAGTTGTGACAATTAACTACCTGTTTAGTGTGGGGCCTTGAGATAACTACCAACAGTTGTGACAATTAACTACCTGTTTAGTGTGGGGCCTCGAGATAACTACCAACAGTTGTGACAATTAACTACCTGTTTAGTGTGGGGCCTCGAGATAACTACCAACAGATGTGACAATTAACTATCTGTTTAGTGTGGGGCCTCGAGATAACTACCAAAAGATGTGACAATTAACTACCTGTTTAGTGTGGGGCCTCGAGATAATAAGCAATTTGTCAGAGGAGGTTACTGTGCTAGTGTCTGCCGGCGGCCGCAGAGTGGCATAGAGACCATCTTCATCTACAGAAACATACAGGGAAGAGGAAGTGACAGGCAGAAATGAGAGTTACCTCCCTTTGTCTTTCATTCTCTGAGCATGTTCCTGCTTCTAGAATGTGTTCCATACAATAAACTACAAGCCAGTTGCTACCATCAAACCAACCTTCACAAACTAAACAATCATGTCCGTTCAACAGTTCATGTTAGCTGCGAAAGATCTGAATATGTTTTTAGTTCTAAACCACCTCATGAATTTTGCTTTACCATAAACATTTATTAAATAAATATTTATTTCAAAAGGCTCTCATATTGATGATAATTTTTTGTGAGATCATGAGAAAAAAATAACATTGATTAGAAACACACACACCCCACCCCCACCCCAAAAAAACACCCAAACCCTTGATTCTTCCCTAAAATTCAGGTAATGTGAAAAATAGGGACACATTCTAAGATACAGTCATCAGATGAAGGACACATTCACATGTCAATCCATGGCAAAGGGAGATTACTCTGTTCATACAGACAAACAGTAAACAAAAGAAGGAGTAGATTACCACATTCGCTGGTTATAGTAAAATGTGCTGCTATTGGTCATCATATTTTCACCAGCTTCTATGTAGAAAGAAACAAAAGATGGATTTTACTGGTTCAAGACAGAAACAAGCTGCAAGAAGAACAGTAGGGACCACGAGACAAATTTAATGTCCACCCTGACCATGTAGACATTCCATGGCAGTTCCATGTTTCCCATCTGCTGTGGTTCTAACCAAACCAAGCTTAGTAGTTTGACACACACAGTCAGCTACTGAACTATTCCACTAGCCTACAGGTGTATGTGAGTGGTATACACATCTTTATCCCAGACCTGCTACAGGTGTATGTTTGTGGTATACATATCTTTAGCCTAGACCAGCTACAGGTGTCTGTGAGTGGTATACATATCTTTAGACTAGACCTGTTACAGGTGTATGTGAGTGGTATACATATCTTTAGCCTAGACCTGCTACAGGTGTATGTGAGTGGTATACATATCTTTAGCCTATGCTACAGGTGTATGTGAGTTACATAGCCTAGACTTGTTACAGGTGTATGTGACCTGTGGTGTATACATATCTTTAGCCTAGACCTGCTACAGGTGTATGTGAGTGGTATACACATCTTTAGCCTAGACCTGTTACAGGTGTATGTGAGTGGTATACATATCTTTAGCCTAGACCTGCTACAGGTGTATGTGAGTGGTATACACATCTTTAGCCTAGACCTGCTACAGGTGTATGTGAGTGGTATACACATCTTTAGCCTAGACCTGCTACAGGTGTATGTGAGTGGTATACATATCTTTAGCCTAGACCTGCTACAGGTGTATGTGAGTGGTATACACATCTTTAGCCTAGACCTGCTACAGGTATGTGATGTGCCTAGTGGGTGTATGTGAGTGGTATATCTTTAGCCTAGACCTGCTACAGGTGTATGTGAGTGGTATACACATCTTTAGCCTAGACCTGTTATAGGTGTATGTGAGTGGTATACACATCTTTAGCGTAGACCTGTCACAGGTGTATGTGAGTGGTATACACATCTTTAGCCTAGACCTGTTATAGGTGTATGTGAGTGGTATACATATCTTTAGCGTAGACCTGTTACAGGTGTATGTGAGTGGTATACATATCTTTAGCCTAGACCTATCTTTAGAACCTGTTACAGGTTATGTGAGTGGTATACATATCTTTAGCCTAGACCTGTTATAGGTGTATGTGAGTGGTATACATATCTTTAGCGTAGACCTGTTACAGGTGTATGTGAGTGGTATACATATCTTTAGCCTAGACCTGTTACAGGTGTATGTGAGTGGTATACATATCTTTAGCCTTGAGGTTCTACAGCAGGGGACATCAGAACTGATCACTATACAAATCAAACACAAATTGTCCAACACTTGAACCACTGGGCTACCCTATCCTCTCCTCCACATAGAGAAGGCTGTCATACCTAAATTATGTTTAAGATGTCACATTTCAGGGTAGACATTTAATTTGATCGTCTTACAAACAATTTCAACGCCTCTTAGTTTCTATTGATGCTTTAAACAAACATTAAAGAAAGGAAGAAATGACATTGTAATTAAATGAGTTGCTGTTCCGGGAATGATTGTATGTTTGTTTAACGCCCATTCTGCAATATTCCAGCTATATGACGGCAGTCTGTAAATAATCAGGTCTGGACCAGATAATCCAGTGATCAGCAGCATGAGCATCAATCTACGCCACTGATATACGATGACGTGTCCAGCAAGTCAGCGAGCCTGACCACCCGATCCTGTTAGTTGGCTCCTAAGACAAGCATGGGTTGCTGAAGAACAATTACAACCCGGATCTTCACGGGAGACAAGCATGGGTTGCTGAAGAACAATTACAACCCGGATCTTCACGGGAGACAAGCATGGGTTGCTGAAGAACAATTACAACCCAACCAACAGGATTGTAACACAGTGGCTTGTACCTGTTATATTGTATGGATGATAACAATCAATGAAACGTGTTTATGAAGCACTATAAAGCGGTGATAATACCAGGGAACAGAGTCCTGCAGTACCTTAGAACACATCACAAATACATGCAGAGGCAAGTCAAGTGTTGAACAAAATACAAACAAACTCATTGCTACTAAAATGTCTTCAGAGTTCACACTGAAAACTACGTCTGACAATGCTTAATGTTTAATGTTTCCTCAAAGTATGAGTGAATTATTTTCTGTGACACTTAATTTGGAATTATTTTACACGAACAAACAAATAGATTAAGACAAAACATAGAGCTCCTTGTTTCATTCCTGCTCAAAATCAGCCACATACATATTAACCATGATAGATAAGACATATTCAATCAAATAAAATAACACATGGTTTAAACATCAGAAACATAAACCATAAATCAAAGAATTAACACTGGAAGTACATACTTAAAAGTAAGATAATGAATTTAAGAAAATAAATTGAAAACATGCATTTTAAAAGTTGTTTTTACATACAAAAAATAAAATAGAGAACATGAATATCTGTTTTGAATTTTTTTTATGAAAGAAAGACTGCCCTTCATATTCATGATCCCTAAGTTTTTTTTGTTCAGTATATAGGCTTTCTTGAAAACAGCAGTATAGACAAACAATAAAGACTGCAGATCAAAGCATGAAATGTTTGGGAAGTCTGTTTGTGGTTGGATGCCACGTAGCAATCTGGTTATATAACACCACCCTGGAATCAGTAACGTCTGGACACAGAATAGAGTGATCAATGATGAGAACAACCATCCGTGCCATCAAGAAAGTCGTGAATCATTATTGTTTTCGTGTATTATCCAAGAAGCATAGATATGTCTGAAAATCGGTCAGAGAAAGATGGACGGTGAGGGTAAAGGTGAGAGTTTTGTAGGAATGATGGACACTTAGGGTCGAGGTGAGAGTTTTGTGAGAATGATGGACTCTTAGGGTCGAGGTGAGAGTTTTGTGAGAATGATGGACTCCAAGGGTCAAGATGAGAGTTTTGTGAGAATTATGGACACTTTGGGTCGAGGTGAGAGTTTTGTGAGAATGATGGACTCTTAGGGTCAAGGTGAGAGTTGTCTGAGAATGATGGACTCTTAGGGTCAAGTCGAGACTTTTGTGAGAATGATGGACACTTAGGGTCAAGGTGAGAGTTGTCTGAGAATGATGGACTCTTAGGGTCAAGGTGAGAGTTGTCTGAGAATGATGGACTCTTAGGGTCGAGGTGAGAGTTTTGTGAGAATGATGGACACTTAGGGTCAAGGTGAGAGTTGTCTGAGAATGATGGACTCTTAGGGTCAAGGTGAGAGTTGTCTGAGAATGATGGACTCTTAGGGTCGAGGTGAGAGTTTTGTGAGAATGATGGACACTTAGGGTCAAGGTGAGAGTTGTGTGAGAATGATGGACTCTTAGTGTCAAGGTGAGAGTTGTGTGAGAATGATGGACTCTTAGGGTCGAGGTGAGAGTTTTGTGAGAATGATGGACACTTAGTGTCAAGGTGAGAGTTGTGTGAGAATGATGGACACTTAGGGTCGAGGTGAGAGTTGTGTGAGAATGATGGACACTTAGGGTCAAGGTGAGAGTTCTGTGAGAATGATGGACACTTAGGGTCGAGGTGAGAGTTTTGTGAGAATGATGGACTCCAAGGGTCAAGGTGAGAGTTGTGTGAGAATGATGGACACTTAGGGTCGAGGTGAGAGTTTAGTGCAAATGATGGACAGTTAGGGTCGAGGTGAGAGTTTGTGAGAATGATGGACACTTAGGGTCAAGGTGAGAGTTTTGAGAATGATGGACACTTAGGGTCGAGATGAGAGTTGTGTGAGAATGATGGACTCTTAGGCTCAAGTTGAGAGTTTGTAAGAATAATGGACACTTAGGGTCGAGGTGAGAGTATTCTGAGAATGATGGACACTTAGGGTCGAGGTGAGAGTTTGTGAGAATAATGGACACTTAGGGTCAAGGTGAGAGTATTCTGAGAATGATGGACACTTAGGGTCGAGGTGAGAGTTTGTGTGAATAATGGACACTTAGGGTCGAGGTGAGAGTGTTCTGAGAATGATGGGCACTTAGGGTCGAGGTGAGAGTTTCACAGAATAATGGATGCTGAGGGTTCGAAGTGAGAGAGTTTGTGAGAATAATGGACACTTAGGGTCGAGGTGAGAGTTTTCTGAGACTGATGAACACTTAGGGTCAACGGGAAAGTTTCAGAGAAAGATGGACGCAAACGGTCAAGGCATCAGTTTACAAGAAATGGACAAAGCATGAATTTTGGGAGAGAGTGAAGTGAACCACCGACCTGGTGACTGTCAGACTAACACACAGGAACACTCCCCCTCCTCTTCTGAAAATTAATCCTCAAATTGGGGCTGGCAACAATCTCATTCAAATCCTAACTTTAACTCAGATTCAATATGTCTTCACACTAACATGAAACAAACACTCCCTGGGAGGTATCTAAAACAAACACTCCCTGGGAGGTATCTAATGGAAAAACAAAACAATATGTCTTCACACTAACATGAAACAAACACTCCCTGGGAGGTATCTAATGGAAAAAACAAAACAATATGTCCGAAAACTAAATAAAAAAACACTTTAGTCAGACCAGAGGCACGAAAAACTAAAAAAAGGTTAATAAGTTCAGCAAACATTGTGTTCCAGTGCTAAAACCCAAAGAGTGCCTCTTCATGGAAACATGAACAAATAAATGATGCCAAGAAACACTGGAAATGAAATCTCACTTGAAGTCGGATGAGGTTATGGTAGGGACCAGCCATTAAATACAGATAGGAGAGGTCTGAAGTCATGCGCTAATGTACTGAAAATATTTACACCCCTTACCAAAGGTCCTTGTACATATTTTTTACTGACCTTCCTCAAATACGTGCACTGATTTCTCAGACAATGTAAGAAATTACAAGTCCCTCACGATGAACTGTAGGAGTTCACTCATTGACAGTTGGATGGTTATGCTCAAGCATGGATGGATATGAAGTGGGATGGATGGATGGATGGACAGACAGAGGATGGATGGATGGATGAACGGATGGATGGATGGGTGGATGGGTGGGTGGAAGTACTTGCAATAGATGGGAGGGGCAAGGGCATACATATATGTGCAAACAGAAGCAGTGCTGAATCTTGTCTCACTATATCATGATGTGTTGCCCTATGCCATAGAATAGTCAAATTACACTAGCTGTGTGACGACTTGCTATGTCTACCATGCAGAATGCATTTACATTGCTTTACAGAAAACACGACATAACTGTAAGCGCCTCCATCAATTCACTCACTCACTCACTCATGCATCTGTCAGAGGAAAGGCCAAGATATTATGATTAACTCAAAAAACATTCTCATATACCTCCAGGTATTTTCCGTCAAACAGGGCTGAGTAAGTGAGTGAGTGAGTTGACAATATTCAAGCTATGTGAAAGCGAGGCACACTGGAACTTACACACCCAAAGGAGGAATAGAACCCAGGCTTTCAGCATAAAATGCATATGCTTTAACCACTCCACCACCAAAAACCAAAGAGCAGCAATACTGGACAAGTCCAGGTCGGATATGTGATTGGTCATTCAGGAGTTGCGCTCAGTAAAAGGGTTAACTCATGACCAAGGGCTGGCATGTTGGAGGTTGGGGGTTAAAGTAGGATTCCACATAGGGGATGACTGAGAGTGATGAGGACAGTTACATTGGGGGATACAGTAGGATTCCACATAGGGGATGACTGACGGTGATGAGGACAGTTATGTTGGGGGTTACAGTAGGATTCCAAATAGGGGATGACTGATGGTGATGAGGACAGTTACGTTGGGGGTTACAGTAGGATTCCACATAGGGGATGACTGACGGTGATGAGGACAGTTATGTTGGGGGTTACAGTAGGATTCCAAATAGGGGATGACTGATGGTGATGAGGACAGTTACGCTAGGGGGGTTACAGTAGGATTCCACACAGGGGATGACTGACAGTGATGAGGACAGTTATGTTGGGGGTTACAGTAGGATTCCAAATAGGGGATGACTGATGGTGATGAGGACAGTTATGTTGGGGGTTACAGTAGGATTCCAAATAGGGGATGACTGACGGTGATGAGGACAGTTATGTTGGGGGTTACAGTAGGATTCCAAATAGGGATGACTGATGGTGATGAGGACAGTTACGTTGGGGGTTACAGTAGGATTCCACATAGGGGATGACTGACGGTGATGAGGACAGTTATGTTGGGGGTTACAGTAGGATTCCACATAGGGGATGACTGACAGTGATGAGGACAGTTATGTTGGGGGTTACAGTAGGATTCCACATAGGGGATGACTGACGGTGATGAGGACAGTTATGTTGGGGGTTACAGTAGGATTCCACATAGGGGATGACTGACAGTGATGAGGACAGTTATGTTGGGGGTTACAGTAGGATTCCAAATAGGGGATGACTGACGGTGATGAGGACAGTTATGTTGGGGGTTACAGTAGGATTCCAAATAGGGGATGACTGATGGTGATGAGGACAGTTACGTTGGGGGTTGAAGTAGGATTCCACATAGGGGATGACTGACGGTGATGAGGACAGTTATGTTGGGGGTTACAGTAGGATTCCAAATAGGGGATGACTGATGGTGATGAGGACAGTTACGTTGGGGGTTACAGTAGGATTCCACACAGGGGATGACTGACAGTGATGAGGACAGTTATGTTGGGGGTTACAGTAGGATTCCACATAGGGGGAGACTGATGGTGATGAGGACAGTTACGTTGGGGGTTACAGTAGGATTCCACATAGGGGATGACTGAGAGTGATGAGGACAGTTATGTTGGGGGTTACAGTAGGATTCCACAGAGGGGATGACTGATGGTGATGAGGACAGTTATGTTGGAGGGTACAGTAGGATTCCACATTGGGGATGACTGACGGTGATGAAGACAGTTACGTTGGGGGTTACAGTAGGATTCCACATAGGGGATGACTGATGGTGATGAGGACAGTTACGTTGGGGGTTACAGTAGGATTCCACATAGGGGATGACTGATAGTGATGAGGACAGTTATGTTGGGGGTTACAGTAGGATTCCACACAGGGGATGACTGACGGTGATGAGGACAGTTATGTTGGGGGTTACAGTAGGATTCCACAGAGGGGATGACTGATGGTGATGAGGACAGTTATGTTGGAGGGTACAGTAGGATTCCACATTGGGGATGACTGACGGTGATGAAGACAGTTACGTTGGGGGTTACAGTAGGATTCCACATAGGGGGAGACTGATGGTGATGAGGACAGTTACGTTGGGGGTTACAGTAGGATTCCACATAGGGGATGACTGATAGTGATGAGGACAGTTATGTTGGGGGTTACAGTAGGATTCCACAGAGGGGATGACTGATGGTGATGAGGACAGTTATGTTGGAGGGTACAGTAGGATTCCACATTGGGGATGACTGACGGTGATGAAGACAGTTACGTTGGGGGTTACAGTAGGATTCCACACAGGGGATGACTGAGAGTGATGAGGACAGTTATGTTGGGGGATACAATAGGATTCCACACAGGGGATGACTGACGGTGATGAGGACAGTCTTGTTGGAGGTTACAGTAGGATTCCACAGAGGGGATGACTGACGGTGATGAGGACAGTTACGTTGGGGGTTACAGTAGGATTCCACATAGGGGATGACTGATGGTGATGAGGACAGTTATGTTGGGGGTTACAGTAGGATTCCACATAGGGGATGACTGATGGTGATGAGGACAGTTAAGTTGGGGGTTACAGTAGGATTCCACACAGGGGATGACTGACGGTGATGAGGACAGTTAAGTTTGGGGTTACAGTAGGATTCCACACAGGGGATGACTGACGGTGATGAGGACAGTTACGTTGGAGGTTACAGTAGGATTCCACATTGGGGATGACTGACGGTGATGAGGACAGTTATGTTGGAGGTTACAGTAGGGTTCCACATTTGGGATGACTGACGGTGATGAGGACAGTTACGTTGGGGGTTACAGTAGGGTTCCACATTGGGGATGACTGACGGTGATGAGGACAGTTACGTTGGGGGTTACAGTAGGGTTCCACATTGGGGATGACTGACGGTGATGAGGACAGTTACGTTGGGGGTTACAGTAGGGTTCCACATTGGGGATGACTGACGGTGATGAGGACAGTTACGTTGGAGGGTTGACACCACAGCAGAAGGTAGGTGCTGCACTTCATCAACCCAAGAATGTCGTACCAGCAGGAACATTTCCTCAACCCAAGAATGTTGTGCCAGCAGGAACATTTCCTCAATCCATGCATTGGCCTGCTGTCAAAAAGTGGGCTAAACATCCTGCCTCCCATCATGCAACAGAAATACAGGCAAGAGATGGACCAGAATTTTGTTTGATTATCCTATCATTGATATTTTGCCAGAACAATCTAATACTGACATTTTTTTTAATAAAAATATCACCAATACAGACTCAACTGTGAATGATGACTTGAGACCAAAGCTAAATAGCTGAATTTAAAATGCCTGTATTTGATGTAAAGGAATCTAAATCTAAGATTACTTAATTGTCTTACCATCCACTGTTGCATATGTGTTATCTAGAAATAGTAGGAAAAACAAATTAGCATGAGTGAGTGAGTGGGTTATCGCTGTTGCTAACAATGTTTCAGTTTCAACAGCTCACTCTGGGAGGAAAGTGTGAAGTGTAGCAGCTGTTGAGACATTCACCACTTTGTTGTAATCCATGTGGACAGATCATGAAGAAGTAAGTCTAAGGAAGCCAACTCTACAGAGAACTGCAGCACCTTAGAAACTGACGCTGGGAAAGACGTAATTCATTTCAAGCTTTCCAGTTAGTCCTTGCAGCCGTCTGGCACTGCATTCAGCAATAATCCAGCTGAATCACACTGGTATGTACATCAGCAACTCTGGACCAGACAAGCCTGTGATTTTTTTCATTGACATATTTCAATCAAGATGTCCAGCTTGACCTCCTGATCCTGTAAGTCATTAACGATGGCTGTGATTCACAGGAAGCAAGAATGGTTGTTAGCCATGTTTGTTGTCCTGTGCCACTAAGTGAAGAGAGAACAAACCAGGAGTTGTTCCCATCTGTAGTCAGCACAACAAAATGATGCTGGATACCGGTCATGTCAACTTCAAGAAGAAGATGCAAACATTGTATATAATAAACTTGTTATAAACATAACCTGACCATACAATCCACATACAAACATGGTTCAGGCGACACTGTATACACGTCATATTTACCTGACATTGTGATACCATTGCTTCTCGGTGGCTGTGACCTCTGACCCCCCTGACCTTTGGCCTCTACGTCCCATAGTATCTGTATTAGCGTAGTAGTCCTCAAACACGATACATGCTGGAAGGTCAAGGCCATCGTAAATGAATGGATTTCATTCTACAATATCAGTGGAAGGACGTTGAATTAAAGCTACGTAATGACTGAGTGGGTTAATGGCTGACTTTATGTGCTGACTGTGAGAGTGTGTTTAACTCTGGATGTGACTCAGCCTTAAAAACGTACTAGAATCTGTAGTTTATTGTCAAAATGCAATCCGGAATAATATGCTATATGCAGTGTAGGAAAGATTGCCCGTCCCAACGTCCGAGACGGGTGAATTTTGTGGAGGACGGGTTAAAAAAAAATCTGGTCCGTCCTCATGTCGGGTCAGTTTTAGCAAACCAATGACATAATCATTATTATATTAAAACCTTTTTTGAATATCTACTGACAAAGGATACTAGAATAATCAGATGATTCCACTAGGAGAGATTTAACAGTCCAAGCTCTGTGTGTGCATATTAAATTATAGCTTAAAATAAAACAAACCAGTTTTAAGTCTTGAAATGGTGTTTTACTTATATTTGGAGGACAGGCTAGATTTTGGCAGGACTGGTAAAAAATTTGACAAGCCAGTCCTGTGGACAGGCTAGATTTTCTACATCTTTCCTACACTGCTATATGTGATGGCAACAGTAAATTATCTAGTGGTTATTGTCATCTCAGTATAATCAGGCTATCAGCTATGGTTCAGTGTAGGCCTAGCTGTCAATACAGATCATACAGATCGATAATCATTACCAAAATATTGATCGATTATCAATAAATATCAGAGAATTCACTTTGAACAAACATGCCCAAAAAAGAGCAGTGGTGAGTGACATGTTTAAGCATGGATTACTAACATAACATAGAATCAGTGCAAACATAACTTTGTGTATTGTGTGCGTACACTAAATCTTTCTTCTATAACAAAAGTATATGCACCCAGGAATATGCTGAGTTCTCAGACAGACATGGGTGTCGGCTATTACTGGAGAACAGACGGAACTTCTGGAAACATGTACAGTAACTCAGTCAAACTCTTGTTAAACCACACAACAATCGGGTTGCCCGGGGAGACAATGCGCCCAGTGACGGATAGCGAGGAACACTGCCTAGAGCTCCAAACTGCTGATTGAGCTCATGACCGACACTCTGAGATCATCAGATATAGTCAGTTCGTTTAGGTTGGCGCCTCCATGCACATCGCTGAGGCAGAGCTATGAGGAGCTGGAACACATGTTTCCAGATGTCCAGATGGACCCCCAAGAAATAACCAATAATGTCAGAAGCGCAGTAGTCACCAATGTACAGGTGTTTGGATAATACACGGACAGTGAGGACCATCCACTACCAAGCCATCATAGAAGGGAGGTGACAATCCTGCACGGATGCATCTCAGGTCAGGTCTGGAAAGACAATGTTAATAGCTGAAGCTAAGTTTGAGAGAGGATGAAACATCCGTGTGAGTTCCAAATCAAGGGCCATCATCCCTTGTAGACTCACTCCTTGTAAGACACACTGTACGAAGAAAACTATCACATGCTTAATTTCCTGACAAGGGATTGCGTATGACCTTAGGAGCCATAATAGCTGAAGTCTCCGAGGGCAAGATATGCTCGTCTCCCAGGGCCATCGGAGACAGTGGCGCAACCAACAGCTGCCAGACCCTTAAAGATGGATAGGAGGCGTCATATAGGTGCTGAATCTGGCAAAAACGCCGCTGGAACACAGTATTCAGAGTCCAACACTGTTCCATCGCAGTGTCTGCCTGCTGGAGTGAGTATGGGTTTATAGGGGCTAGATCTAGTAAAGATCTGGTAGAAAAGCCAGAAAAGACGCTGGAGTGAGTATGATGGTATAGGCGAGGATCGTTTTATAGGTGTCGTACAAGCGCTGGATCTGGTGGAAGCGCCGTACAGGTGCTGGAGTGAGTAAGTATGGTTTACAGGCACCTTACAGGCACCGTACAGGTGCTGGATCAGGTAAACCATACATTTGCTGGAACAGGCAGGTATGGCGACAGAGACGCTGACTTCAACTGCTGAACGCTGAGGTCTATGTGGTAGATGTGCCATACAGGCCCTGCATTTATGATCAGCAGTCAAGTGTGGAATGGACGTCGATACATCCAGTGACTGCTGAGTGTATGGCGCATGGATCTTAGGCGTCAAGAGTGTGACGCCTGCCATGGAAAACTCTGAAAACAGCAACCTGGAGACTGGAGACGGAGCGCCAGACACCCTAGAGTTAGTGGACATCAGTGGTGTGGCAAATATCTGGGTGCTTGCCATAGGCGACTTCGGTGTTGGACCTGGTGCTTCATAGATGGAAAAAAAAGCAACAAGCACATTCATTCGTGTGAAAAACAGGGAAAATCACGGAAAAGTGCAATTCAACAGTATGAATGAAGGCACTTATGAGATACCCCGCCTTACAAACTATATGGTGTGTGCCGTAAAGAAACTGTAACATAGCTGGCAAACCACATGTCTTGCGAGGCATGTGAAAAGCAATAATCTGAGGTGGCTGACGTCACGTCCGGTGATGTGTGCGCAGACTGATGGTTACCTGAGGCCAGGAAGTGATCACAGTCTATGCTTTCAACATCAGTCATCTGGCACAGCCAAGTTTCAAGTCGTAAGCAATTAGTGCAGCAACGCGAACAGTGTCACCTTGTACACATCGCATTCAGTGTCTCAATTACACTTGTGCTGTTCAGTCGTCTATTGTTGGTTCTCGTCCTAGCGCCACATTGTTACATGGTGTCAGAAGTGGTTTCGTCGGAGAATGGACAAACTACATCCACCCTCACCTTTGCTGTTGACTGGTAATCTTGCGGAGAACTGGCGTAAGTTCAAGCAACGGTTTCAGTTGTTTATGATTGCTACTGACAAGGACGGGAAAGGTGACAAGGTAAAGTCGTCTATTTTTGTGTCTACTATTGGAGAAGATGCACTGGAGATTTATAACACATTTCATTTTGAGAATGACACGGATGCTATGAAACTTCAGCCAATTTTGGATAAATTTGAAGCTTATTGCATTCCCAAACATAACATTACCTTTGAAAGGCACAGTTTCTTTACCTGTAGCCAGAGGGAAGGGGAGAAAATAGACCAGTATGTTACAGAGTTAAAGAGCAGAGCAAACGCATGCGAGTTTGGAGATTTGCATGATTCTCTCATCGGAGATAGGTTAATTTGTGGCACTGCAAGTGATGCATTAAGGGAAAGGCTCTTGCGTGAAGATGATTTGACTTTAGATAAGACTGGTACTATGTGCAGAGTTGCTGAAGCTAGTAAAGTCCAAGTTAAGAAACTTCATCCACTAGACTCCCAATCGGTACACTCTGTTGAACAACAATCAAAATCTGGCCATCGAAAATCTAATAGAAAAAAGCCCCAGAGTCCCGTTCGTCTGAGCAATCTGATACACGTGGCTATTGTGGATTTAAACACACTCCTAGAACATGTCCTGCATCTGGAAAATCATGTGATAAATGTGGGAAATAGAATCACTTTGCTAGAGTTTGTAGGTCCAAGAATCAGTCATCGAAAAGTAAAGTTCACTTTGTTGAGGAAACCCAAAATGAACTCTTTGTGGTTTCAATTGATACAGAAGTCGTTTCTGACAAAGATTGGATAGTCTCCTTACAAGTCAATAACACGTTCTTGCCACTTAAACTTGACACAGGTGCTCAAGCTAATATCCTTCCTGAGAAAGATTTCAACAGGCTACTTGACAAGCCAAGATTGCGTCCCTCCAGAACTAAACTCACTGGTTACTCTCATGTTGATATTCCTGTAATGGGTCAGGTTACAGCTACATATTATAACAAGGACACACAAATTGATCTCATGTTTGTTGTAACCACAGAAGATGTTCAGTCTATCCTAGGTTGAAAGCATGTGACCAGCTGAAAAAGCCAAACAAGCAATTGAGAGTCTGCCTCGACCCTAAAGACTTAAATATGGCCATTAAACGTGAACATTTTAAACTTCCTACACGAGAGGAAATCACTGCAAAGTTCTCGAATGCACGTTATTTCAGTAAACTTGATGCATCAGCTTGATTTTGGCAACTAAAGCTGGATGAGGAGAGTTCTAAGCTCTGTACATTCATACCACCCTTTAGAAGATATAGATTCTTACGGCTCCCCTTTGGCATATCTTCTGCTCCAGAAGTATGTCACAAGACGACACACACCTTGTTTGATTCAGTAGAAGGTGTAGATACCTCCATGGATGACATTATTGTGTCAGGTTCAATGCCTGAAGATTATGATAAACATCTTTCTCAGGTTCTTGATGTCGCAGGTCAGAATAACTTGAAGTTTAACCCAGACAACCCAGTGTTTTTGGGGTCACCGAGTTGACATTTCTTGGCGATGTGATCAGCAGTGATGGTGTGAAGCCAGATGTCCTGATGGTTGAAGCAATACAATCTATGCAGAGACCTACCTGTAAGAAAGATGTCCAGAGGTTTTTGGGTATGATAAACTACCTAGGTAAATTCATCCCTCATTTGTCAGAGAAGACGCAACCTCTTAGATAATTGATGGATAAAGATGTTGATGTTCAGTGGCTACCTCAACAGGAACAAACATGGTTGTCTCTGAAGCAAGTTGTGTCACAGGAACCAGTCCTGAAGTTCTTTGATCCTGGGAGGAAGATCAAGATTTTGTCTGACGCTTCCCAGAATGGTTTAGGTGCTGTCCTACTGCAGAAGTATGAATCTGATTGGTTGCCTGTAGCGTATGCTTCCAGAGCTCTTACCAGTGCTGAAACAACGTAAGCTCAAATTGAAAAAGAAATCTTGTCAATAACCTTTGCATGTGAACATTTCCATCAGTACATATATGGACAGTCCATATATGTAGAAACGGATCACAAGCCATTAATTTCAATCTTCAACAAGTCTCTCAATGAATGCCCTCTCAGAATACAGAGATTCATGTTAAGAATGCAACAGTATGATGTTCAAGTCTCGCATACCTCAGGGAAGTTCATGTTTACAGCTGATACATTGTCACGCTATGTCCTTCATCAAGGCCCGGATCTGTTTCGTCATCTGAAGAATGTGTTCAAGCCTACGTCGACATGATCGTCTCGTCTGTGTCCACGACACACTATGCTGAGATACGTCAGGAGACAAGCAAGGATCCAGTGCTATTTACTTTGATGGAAGTTATTGAATCAGGTTGGCCAGAGCTTAGAAGTTCATGTCCCGTGAATCTTCGTGAGTATTGGAACCTACAGACATGATTTGACTGTTGTAGATGGTGTCATCTTCAAAGGTGTTAGAGTAGTAATACCTACCTCACTCAGAAAGTACATGCTAGACAAAACTCATGCTGGTCATCTTGGTATGGAAAAATGTAAACGTAGATCCCGGGAAACTCTGGCCAAGACTCAATCATGACATTGACGATATTGTGTCTAACTGTTCTATGTGTCAAACCTACAGGAACGGGCAGTGGCCTGAATCTTTGCAGCCTCTTCAGACAGTTTCTCGCCCTTAGCAGAAAGTTGCAGCAGATCTCTTTTATTGTGGTGGGAAGGATTATCTGGTGATTGTAGATTATCTCTCCAACTATCCGGCAATATTCTCATTGACAGATACGTCTCGTCGAGTCATCACCGCCATGAAAACAGTGTTTGCTCCCCATGGTATCTGCAAGTTTCCAGGTCTCGTAAAGTTGTTGTTAAACTTAAAGAGAATCAGAAATTAAAACAAAAGCACTATTACGACAACTAAGCCCTTGAGTAGGTTACAGTGTGGTGACAGAGTTGCAGTGCGTGATCATCAACGGTGTGATTGGTCTCAACGTGGTACAGTTGTTCAGGACGCTGGCCCAAGATCTTACAATGTTCAGACAGATAGTGGTAGTCAACTTCGACGGAATCGTCGTGATATTCTGTTGTCATCACGCACCCCTGGACCAGTGAAGAGTGCTGGAACCGCTGATGTTACAACTCCATTGTTGTTGAGTCCATCTTCGTCGTCTGTGACGTCTCCTGTGTCTGTGATGTCTCCGGTGTCAACTGTGACTAGATATGGCCGTGTGTCCAAGCCACCCGTAAGACTGGGAGTGGACTGATTGTTAATTATTGTATGTTTAACCATGTTAGGTGTTTCAGATGGTTCCCCACCAGTTGGAGAACTACATGTGTAATGATAAGAGACTTGCACACAGTCTACATGTATACTGAGCAAGGCAAGCCGGACCGGCCCCCTACCCCGATGTGCCTGCCTCGCACGTGCTTCTCGTGAACTGTGTCAGCTTGTACACATCGCACTCAGTCTCTCAATTACACTTGTGCTGTTCAGTCTTCTATTGTTGGTTCTCGTCCTAGCGTCACATTGTTACAATACTGACTTGCATCAACAGCAAGCTCTTGCATGACTTTCAGCAGTATTGCAGCAATATGACAGCAAGATTAGATTCCCACATTGTTCCAGTACGAGAAACAATCATTGTAACTACAGTGCTACAAAACATTAAAACGTAGGAAGATTCACCTACCTGGCCTTTCAGTGCCTGTCTGGTATTTCTCAATAAATGTACATATGTCATTCTCCATTGAACAATTCTCCAACACTCGGCGGACTGACTCACAACACTGCAGGAAGAGAAATGGAGTCATTGAAGTAACTGTGAGTGAGTGAGTGAGTGAAGTAACTGTGACAGGGAGTGAAAGTTATACTTATGTGAGTGAGTGAGTGAGTGAGTGAGTGAGTGAGTGAGTGAGTGAGTGAGTGTGTGTGAGTGGGTGGGTCTGCGAGCGAGTGAGTGAGTGAGTGAGTGAGTGAGTGAGTGAGACTGGAAATGTTTTCTTGTTTTTGGCAAAATAGTGGTTTATTGTTACTGGAGTGAACAGCTATAAACATTTACCAAGTTTAGGTAAACAATATCCTACATCATCAAGGATAAAATCAGGGATCAGAGTGAGTGAGTGTAGTTCAGTTAAATGGGCTTCAAACATTGTACCAATGTGGGAAAGAAAACCCGGGTCTTTGGCGTGATGAGCGAATGCTTTAACCACTGGACTACCCCACGCACTTCATATAGCACCTCTAGGCTACCTAACCGCCCCTGTTGCCAGACAACTTCATATAGCACCTCTAGGCTACCTAACCGCCCCTGTTGTCAGACAACTTCATATAGCACCTCTAGGCTACCTAACCGCCCCTGTTGTCAGACAACTTCATATAGCACCTCTAGGCTACCTAACCGCCCCTGTTGCCAGACAACTTCATATAGCACCTCTAGGCTACCTAACCCCGCCCCTGTTGTCAGACAACTTCATATAGCACCTCTAGGCTACCTAACCGCCCCTGTTGCCAGACAACTTCATATAGCACCTCTAGGCTACCTAACCGCCCCTGTTGTCAGACATCTTCATATAGCACCTCTAGGCTACCTAACCGCCCCTGTTGTCAGACAACTTCATATAGCACCTCTAGGCTACCTAACCGCCCCTGTTGTCAGACAACTTCATATAGCACCTCTAGGCTACCTAACTGCCCCTGTTGTCAGACAACTTCATATAGCACCTCTAGGCTACCTAACCGCCCCTGTTGCCAGACAACTTCATATAGCACCTCTAGGCTACCTAACAGCTCCTAAGTATAGCACCTGTTGTCAGACAACTTCATATAGCACCTCTAGGCTACTTCTAACACGCTACCTAACACTCTAGGCTAACTCTTAACTGTTGCCAGACAACTTCATATAGCACCTCTAGGCTACCTAACTCAGACAACTTCCATTGCTCTAGCTGCTCTTAACCCCTGTTGTCAGACACTTCATATAGCACCTGTGACAACAAATTCCATATAGCACCTCTAGGCTACCTAGACAACTTCATATAGCACCTCTAGGCTGTTGTTGTCAGACATCTTCATGTAGCACCTCTAGGCTACCTAACCGCCCTGCTGTTGTCAGACAACTCTTATATAGCACCTCTAGGCTACCTAACCACCCCTGTTGCCAGACAACTTCATATAGCACCTCTAGGGCTACCTAACTCTACCTAACTGTTGCTGTGACAACTTCATATAGCACCTCTAGGCTACCTAACTCGCCCCTGTTGCCAGACAACTTCATATAGCACCTCTAGGCTACCTAACCACCCCCTGTTGTCAGACAACTTCATAAAGCACCTCTAGGCTACCTAACTTGCCTAAATTTTAACCTGTTGTCAGACAACTTCATATAGCACCTCTAGGCTACCTAACCGTTGTCCCTGTTGGCTACTCTAACCTCTGTTGTCAGATGTAACTCTTATATAGCACTCCTAGACAACTTCATAAAGCACCTCTAGGCTACCTAACCTACTCTGCTGTTGTCAGACAACTTCATGTAGCACCTCTAGGCTACCTAACCGCCCTGTTGTCAGACAACTTCATATATAGCACCTCTAGGCTACCTAACTGCCCCTGTTGTCAGACAACTTCATATAGCACCTCTAGGCTACCTAACCGCCCCTGTTGTCAGACAACTTCATATAGCACCTCTAGGCTACCTAACCGCCCTGTTGTCAGACAACTTCATATAGCACCTCTAGGCTACAATCTAACTCTAGCTACTGTTGTCAGGACAACTTCATATAGCACCTCCTAGGCTACCTAACCACCCTGTTGTCAGACAACTTCATATAGCACCTCTAGGCTACCTAACAACTTCATAGCCCTGTTGTCAGACAACTTCATATAGCACCTCTAGGCTACCTGAACTAACCTGTTGTCAGACAACTTCATGTAGCACCTCTAGGCTACCTAACTGCCCTGTTGTCAGACAACTTCCATATAGCAGACAACTTCATATAGCACCTCTAGGCTACCTAACCTCTAGCCCCTGTTGTCCTAGACAACTTCATATAGCACCTCTAGGCTACCTAACTGCCCCTGTTGTCAGACAACTTCATATAGCACCTCTGTTGGCTACACTCTAGGCTAACCTTCCTGTTGTCAGACAACTTCATATAGCACCTCTAGGCTACCCTAATCACTCTGTTGTCAGACAACTTCATATAGCACCTCTAGGCTACCTAACCCTCTAGCCCTAACTGTTGTCGTAGACAACTACCTCATATAGCACCCTCTAGGCTACCTAACCACTCTAACTGCCCTGTTGTCCAGACAACTTCATATAGCACCTCTAGGCTGCTCTAACTAACTCTGTTGTCATATAGACAACTTCATATAGCACCTCCTAGGCTACTTTAACACCTCTAGGCTACCCTGTTGTCAGACAACTTCCTCTAGGCTACTTCATATAGCACCTCTAGGCTACTCTGTAACATTCCTGTTGCCAGACATCTTCATATGCACCTCTAGGCTACCTAACTGCCTCTGTTGTCCAGACAACTTCATATATAGCACCTCTAGGCTACCTAACCTCTGTTGCCAGACAACTTCATATAGCACCTCTAGGCTACCTAACTAACCCCTGTTGTCAGACAACTTCATATAGCACCTCTAGGCTACCTAACCCACTCTGTTGTCAGACAACTTCATATAAGCACCTCTAGGCTACCTAACGCTCCCTGTTGCCAGACAACTTCATATAGCACCTCTAGGGCTACCTAACACAGCCCCTGTTGTCAGACAACTTCATATAGCACCTCTAGGCTACCTAACCGCCCCTGTTGTCAGACAACTTCATATAGCACCTCTAGGCTACCTAACTGCTCCTGTTGCCAGACAACTTCATATAGCACCTCCTAGGCTACCTTCATAACTGCCCTCTGTTGTCAGACAACTTCATATAGCACCTCTAGGCTACCTAACCGCCCTGTTGTCAGACAACTTCATATAGCACCTCTAGGCACCTCTGGGCTACCTAAAACTACCTGTTGTCAGACAACTTCATATAGCACCTCTAGGCTACCTAACCGGCACCTCTAGGCCCTTAACTGTTGTCAGACAACTTCATATAGCACCTCTAGGCTACCTAACTCTGTTGTCAGACAACTTCATATAGCACCTCTAGGCTACTCTAACCGCCTCTGTTGTCAGACAACTTCATATAGCACCTCTAGGCTACCTAACCTCTGTTGTCAGACAACTGCACCTCCTGTTGTCAGACAACTTCATATAGCACCTCTAGGGCTACCTAACCTACCTGTTGTCAGACAACTTCATATAGCACCTCTAGGCTACCTAACCTGCACCCCTGTTGCCAGACAACTTCATATAGCACCTCTAGGCTACCTAACCGCCCCTGTTGTCAGACAACTTCATATAGCACCTCTAGGCTACCTAACTGCCCCTGTTGCCAGACAACTTCATATAGCACCTCTAGGCTACCTAACCGCCCCTGTTGCCAGACAAGACTGCCATGGAAGAAGCTGAGCCCAAAACGTTAAATGGATATGATGTCACACTCCTGGCCAGGTCAGTAGGTCAGCAACTAACTCACACCTTAAAGAGCATAGGTTTCTACAGGCCAAATCTAACCCAAGATCACGTGCTAATTCTGAACATAAGTATTTGTCTCACGTCATCAATCTCCACGGCAACCTGGGAATCAACGTTGAGAGAAACCCAAAGATTTTCTCGCAGGAATTTGATTCTTTCATGATCCAAATTCTGAAACACCTGAAAAAAACAACAGATTAGTAAAGACTTCATCAACAATTGACATTGTTTGTACTGTCAAGAGATGACCAGTAAAACTCAAACTTCAGTCCAACGTCCGTAATGTCATGAATCAGTCACTCTGGAAATACATCAATCACCTTTCTATGGTATTTCACTGTTTCCAACATTATTGCAGCAATATTTCAAAATATTTCAGCAACATTATCACAAGAATTCCTAAGGTGTTACTGCATGCTGGTACAAGCTAAATCTCTGGCAGCACCATTTGGTGAAAGTGAAAACTTTCTAGCTGCCCCAGAGCAAACAGGACCTTCGGGACTCAACACGGGGAACTTCTTTGAGAGACATTCCAGAAGTTGAATGAGTGAGTTAAGCAATATTCCAGCAATATCATGGCAGGGGACACCAGAAAAGGGCTTCATGCATTGTACCCATGTGGGGAATCAAATACATGAGTCTCGACTAATGATCTACATTGTGAGCATTGATCTATATAATTGGGATATGACGACATCTGTCAACCAGATCCCCTCCGTGGCCTCTTACAACAAACATAAAGCAGTGGCTAAACACCAATTATAATCCCGATCTTTTTGATAAACATCACATATACATATACAAATTACAAAAGGTGATTGGTTTACAACCATTGCATACACAATGTTACATGAATCAACATCAACATTCTCTGTCAAGATCTATTTGTAAATATTACAACACAGGGGAGATAACTCTGCTGGGCTTACATCACAAGCTGCTTGCATCTCCTTTTCCCAAAGATCCCGTGCACTTTCCAGGGCATCCAAGGAACTCTTGTATGCTGTTTCTGGAAATACAAGTCAGACTCTAAAATGATGAAGCAACATAAAAGCAGATACATGGACCATGGAAGTCATCAAGCTCTGGAAACAGTTCCAACACCCTGTGTAGTTCTTGGGGTTGGTCGTTAGATATGTATTAATTATAATCAAAATGTTATTATCTCTCAGGTGTTGAGGCCACCAAGCCGCGACCGGTATACGACCGAACGCGATCATTGCGACCAGTTCGATCGCAGCCGGTCTGAGTTGACTTTCCGGTTACATCAGGCCTGCTGTGCGATCCCACTACGACAAAAAGCGTTATTTGAGAGAGCAAGTTGAGACCTAGTAGAGAGCGATACGATCATACTGTGATACAACAGTATTGGAGATTTTCCCTGCGAGCAGCCACAACTGAGTTGAGACGAACCGGACAATTTCTGTGACTGACTTGCGACTGTTCGTGCGATCGAGTACGACCATATTACAACCAGTGCGAGTCTATGTGAGTTCTGTGCGACTTAAGTACGACTATGGCGACATTATGTAAGATCACATCGAGACCTATATGACCTCACCAAGGCTTATTCGCAATTGGTCACCAAAAAAATTTGAAGATGGCCGCGACCGACTGAGATCGTCATTCTGAGCTTGAACAGCAGACTGAGAACACCTAGAGAAGATGGACACTGAGAACACCTAGAGAAGATGGACACTGAGAACACCTAGAGAAGATGGACACTGAGAACACCTAGAGAAGATGGACACTGAGAACACCTAGAGAAGATGGACACTGAGAACACCTAGAGAAGATGGACACTGAAATGACTCGGTCCTTGCCATGCAGTTGGAAACCTGCCAAGAAATACAGGATATTACGGCTTGACCATGGTTGGGCGCATTCAGTGAAGGAGAAGGCGGCGTTGATGGCGTGAAGTTTGGGTACGAGAGTGGAATATTCTTCGAAGAGACATGACCACTGCCAGTACTCCCATCTTGTCCAAAAGTTGAAGGAAGACAATCCAACTCAGTTCAAGAACTACATGAGGATGCCAGTCAAACCCATTGAAAAAAATTAAATTCTAGAAAGAACAAGAGAAGGCACCAATCACAGACACTCTTTGGAGGCAGGGTTGAAACTCGCACCGACATTAAGACACCTGACCACCGGTGACCAGTGTGGCCTGCAGCTACATCAGTTCAGCACTTGGTAACCATGGTAACCCTAGTTTGCAGTGCCTACAGAGATAGGTATTCAAGACATCTACAACAGAGGAAGAGTGGAAGAAGATAGCCCAACAGTTCGAAGAAAGATGGCAAGTATCAGCAGGAATTCAATGCCACCTTGGACATATTGTGTAATGAAGATAACAATCACACACTTCCTTCTGATTCCATAAATGTGTTTATGATGTTCATGAAACTGCTAATCATTAAACTTCTACTTCAAGGAGTAGTTTTAAGATACTAACCACCCTTTACCTTGGCATTTTCTAATTTCACATCCTGTCTAATAACAAAATGACTACAAATGTTCACTAAAATGAGCAAAGTAATATAAATAGCAATATATGGTTGCCATAGTTACAAACTTTATTACCTGCTTTAACAGCCTCATCTTCTGCCCTTGCCTTTGCCTTGTTTGCCTGGAATAAACAAGATGAATTGACGTATAATCCGCTGACTCAGCATCCGTCCTTCAACACGTTTGTATCAACATGGCAAATTTGCAATCTTCACCACAAACGTTTCAGGTTTATCATATTAACATTAAACTTGTGCTAGACATAATATAGCTGAGTTATTGCCAATTTAACTCTAAATATTAACTCACTCACTCACCTGATGACAATAATGTAATTTTTGGAGTAAAATTGATATTTTATACTTATCCTGACTCATGCTCTTTTGCTTGTCTTCTTCTTCTTCCGAACATAGTGGAACACTTGTATCTCCTTAATTGAAGCTCCCTTCAATGTAAAATCACTAATTGGTACTCACCACGAGTTGCTCCCCTTTGTTCCCCTGGCGGGAAAAGGTGTCGCCACCCTCTGGCCATGTGCTTCACTCTCTCCTGATTTTGTGAGCCCAACACTTGAACTTACAGGGAAATCCAAAGTGTTATGTGGGGAGGATGGGAGGGCTAACCTCATGAGTCAGGATAAGTATAAAATATCAATTTTACTCCAAAAATTACATATTTTTCCTTATCCTGACTCATGCTCTTTTGCTTGTAGAATCCTACGGAAACGGAGGTGGGAGTAACAGAATACTTTGGATTTATAATTAGTGATTTTGTATAGATATAACTGTAATATCCCCTACGGGAACTTCATGAAGGCGTAGACTTAGGATATTTCCTGTATTAAAAAAACCATAGGTTATATAATGCCATTAAAGGGGAATTACATTATTAATATATTGAACAATACATATAATATATATATATATATAAGTGACTCTGATAGAGGCACTGAATAACTGAACATATCATCAGTATAAGCTTAAGGCTGAATAACTTAAGCTGAATATATACATAGCCCTAGAACTCCATAGAGTTATAAGCTAGATAAGTATGTATATAATACATATTAATCTTGTGAGGGTAATAGTTAACGCCTACGAGGGACTGTCAGTTGCTGAGCGAGGACCAATGGTCCGAAATGGTGAATGCCAGAGACATCTTCTGTAGTGATGTCTCTCAGGTAGTGATTAGCAAACACCATGTTAGATTTCCAATAGCATCCTTCCATAATCGTGTTCAAAGAACAGTTACCGTGTAGAGGCGAGGGTGGAGGCCAGTGCCCTGATCTCATGTGGATTTGATGCTGTTGGTGGGTCCAAGCCTGCTGCCTTGTAGGCACGGAGAATGACAGTCCTTATCCAAATAGATATTGTGGTCCGTGACACTTCTGTTTGATTCGTTGGCGATAAGGGGATGAATAAACGTTTGAGAAATCTTCTCCTTGTTTTGGATCGTCGTAAATAAACTTTGAGAGCTCTGACTGGACACAGTGATAAGTCTTGTGTATCTTGTGATCCGAGAATAGAGGATAGCTCCGGGATATGGAATAACCTGTCTGGTTGACCTGGCAGTTGATTTTTAGCGATGAAATCCCATCTTAGTCCGAGGTGCGCTGTGTTATGATTGTCATCAAACTGTATCCTCTCGTAATCTAGAGCGTGAATTTCGGACATTCTTGCTGCCGTGGCTAGAGATAGCAGAAATAGTGTTTTCTGTGAGAGAAATTCAAAAGTTGTCGATTCCAACGGTTCATAAACCTCACTAGTGAGGTGTTGTAACACTATATTCAGATCCCAAGCTGGGGCGTGGAACTTCCGCTTTTAATCCTCCAATCGGAATGCCCGTAGTAAGGCCAGTAACTCTGGAGATCTTGTCAACTTGACACCCGTTCTCATGGTGATCACAGAACTAAGCGCGGCAAGATATGTTGATATCGTTGAACCTTTTAAATGTTTGTTTTGGCGAAGGTAACACAAATAGTCTGCCACTTGAGGATGTGAAGCATCTCTCGCTGTAAAACCTTTCTTTGCTGCATAATTTTCAAAACTGTGCCACTTGTCGTCGTACAAGTTACGAGTTGAGTAACGTAAAGCAAGCGTAACTGCTTTTGCCGCCCTGGCAGAATATCCTCTCTTGTTTAAACACATTTGTATACAGTCCATACGTGTAGTTGGAACACTCCTGGGTTTCCGTGCACTTGTTTGGTGTGAGGATGAATTAACAGGTTTGAGCGCTTGGGTAGCTCCAGTGCTGGTTGACCGATTTCTTGAATTAGTATGGGAAACCATGTTCTGGCCGGCCAGTAGGGCGCGACCAAAGTGAGTTGTAGGCTCTGTGTTTGTCTGATTTTCTGTAATACTTGAGGTATTATTGCTGGCGGCGGAAACGCGTACGCATTGAGGCCTTCCCATGATAAACTTAGAGCGTCCGTTGCCCAAGCTTGAGGGTCTGGGACTGGTGACACGAATGTCGGTAGCTGATTGTTGAATCGTGTGGCGAATAGATCTATTAGCGGCGCTCCTAATTGCTTGATTATCTGTGCAAATATTTCCCTGTTGATCATCCACTCTGTCGGTGATGGTAGATGAGGCCGAGAGAGAGCGTCTGCTAGTACATTTCTGGCTCCCGGGAATGTGAACTGCTCTGACATGTAGATTTAGATCTTGTATTAGATCGAACAGTTGAAAGCTTAGGTTCAAAAGGTTCAGCGATCTCGTTGAGCCTTGCTTGTTTACGTAGAACGCCACTGTCGAATTGTCGGTATGGATCATTAGGTGCGCATTTTGTAGAAATGTGCTCCAATGTAGAATGGCGTTGATTACAGCTTTCATTTCTAGAATGTTTATATGGAGTTTGCTTTCTTGCTGATTCCATAATCCTGATATCGCGGGGTTGGCGAGATGAGCTCCCCAACCTTGGAGCCGACGCTGGCCTACATATAGATGGGTTTTGAATTCCTGCTCTGCTAAACAAATCCCTTCGCAGACATTCGATTTCTTGGTCCACCATAGTAGATGAGGTCTGAGATGTTTCGGTAGACTGAATGGTTGTACATCGCTGAGATGTGCTTGATGAGGACCTGTAGGGGACGTAACTGTAATCTGCCTGTGACAGTCATGTCTTGGGCTGATGTGAGAAGACCTAGTAGGCTCTGCCATTGTCGAAGTGGTAACGGAGAGAGTAGAGCTGGTGGAATGGTCTGTTGTATCTTGAGCCAACGGTCTTCTGGTACAACGATACGGGTTGCGATTTGTGATAAATCAATATACCTAGGAACTGCAGGTCTTGGCGATGGTACTAGGTCCGACTTGAGTAAGTTTACTAACCATCCTAGTTGTGTTAGTAGCTTTATGATGTAATTTAACTGTAGTTTGAGACGCTGTGGATCTTGATCTACTTGTATCCCGTCGTCGAGGTAAAACGCACTCGCGTAGCCCCCCTTGACGATGTAGAAAGGTGATAATCGGTTTCGCTATCCTCGTGGAATAGCCAGGGGGCTGATGATATTCAATGGGGAGTACTTTCCACTGGTAATGTAGCCCTTCTAGAGTAAACCGTAGGTATTTCCTGAATCGGGATGAATAGGGATGTGCAGGTAGGCATCCTGTAGATCTATGCTGCCCATGTAGTCCATAGGACTTAATCATCTGGCGAACTGAGGTAAATGTATCATGCTAAACTTCGTGTGGTTTGGCGAGATAATTCTTGTTGAAAAAGCTCATGTTGTAGATGAGTCTGTATTTCTCCTTGGAGTTTTCCTTGGGAACTAGGAAAACTGGGGAGTAGAAACCTGGTTCGATGTTTGCTTGATCTATTACTTCTATGGCCTGTTTGGTTAGGAGTGATGAAACAGCCTCTCTTAACTTTGGTAGTTGTTGCTTTGTAAATCCTAACTTGTGGGGTTTGATTGTCAGCGAGGCTTGGCCTGTAATGGGATAAAATGTGGTTGAAGAATGTTGGAGACGAAGGGTCTTGCAATATTCCCCAGTTTTCCCAGTGTAGTTGGAGACGCCCACCCACTTGTGATGGTTGTACTGGAACGGCTGGGGTGGAAGACTCCAGTCGCTTCGAACCTGTGTTTCAGCGCTTATAGTTGCGGGAACCTCTGGGTGTCCTGCCTCTTCCTGACCCTCCTCTATAGTTGCCATATGGGCTTACCTTAAAAGAATCTTTACCTCTAGAACTGGCTATCTTCCTGTCTCTTGCTCTTTGTAGGCCCGTGAACTTAGATCTCCCTGAGTATCTTTGTGAAGTCTGGACGAATGACGCTGGCTAGTGTGTCCATCGATTTAATCATAAGGACTTCCCTGGAATCCTTAGTGACTTCCTTTGGAGACTTTGTCTATTTCTCCGCTAAAGATGGATGTTGTCGACCACGGGCTGTATAAAGTGGGCTGTAAAGTTCTCACCCCAATTGCAGGAAGCGAGGAGGCCTTGACGACGAAGCTAAGGTCAGTGCTGCTGAAACAGATGTAAGATGATCCGTTAAGAACTGCTGATCCTTCTTTTGCATAAGTAAGGCAGAGTAAATCATTCTATCATCTTCAGCCGTGGTATCCCGAAATCTAGTGATAAGAGTCTCATTGATCGCCCTAGATCTATTTAACCCAAAGAACATACCGCCTCGGCCATGGTTTCTATATGAGCCAACTTGCATCATCCATCTTGTAAATCTTGTTCTTGACATCGCTGATGATCTTATAGTTCTCATCGATGTCCTGGGCTTTGTAGAAGGGTCCATGTTATGTGGAGAACTTCTTGGCATGAAAGTTTGGCAGATGTGGTGTCTGAACTTTCGTAGCTTTCTGGAATGCTGCATCTAGATTCTGTGGTGGCACTGTCGCGATCGGGTCGATCGGGTAGTGTGATCGCGATCTGCATCGCCTTCTTTCATCAAGTAAGTCTGCGCTCGTGATTGCCACTTTTAGATGGTGATGAGAGATCTAGGTTATTGACCATCCAATACCGTATCTCTGCATCGGAGAAAATGATTCCTCCATCATCCTAAATACCATCATCATTAATGAACGGTTGATGCTCTTCGGGACTGCGTGTAGCTGTCTCTACGTCCGGTGATGCTTGTGGCGATCTAGTTGACTTGTGCGCAGCTCTATGTGGTGACCTGAAAGGTGATCGACATGGTGATGAACGAAGCGGAGATCGTCTATAGGATGATCTTCTCGGAGACTTGTGAGGCGAACGTTGATAGCTTCGCGAAGCTCTTCTATAGTCCCTCGATGTCCTTCTAGATGATGAAGATCTGGATTCATGTGTCCTTCGCGAATGCCTTTCGCGCTAAGCTTCATTTGCGTCCGGTCCGGGGAGCGATGATATGACCTTCGCTGGCTTCCGTGGACGCCTGATGGTCCGAGTCCATATCTAGGGACTAAAATCGAAGATGGTGATGATCTATCCCCGCCAGCGAAGGCCTTCGCTACTGTACATCTAGGTCCTTCATGTCCAAGGTGGTCCGGACTTCCTTCGCCGGCGAAGGTGACATCGTCCTGGCTGCTACGCTGACGGGGGTGCCTCTGGGTGTTGTTCACGCTGGAGCCTTCGCAGGCTCCCGTCCCTGCTTCTGCAGTCTCTAGCGGTCCTCCATGATGGTCATAATTTGTCGCGATCATGTCCTCCGGGATGGTCTGTGACGAAGTCGCCGGCACCTTCTCTGCGGTGTTAATGGTGGGGTCCACATCAATAACGTCCGACGTCAGTGTAGAGGCATCAGGCTGCATGGTGATCTCTGCTGAAGTCACAGTCGCTGACACCGGTCGCTTCTTGTGCCGTAAGTCGGGGATGATTATCGGCTGATCATCGTAGAGGCCCAATTCTGCGGCTGGAACGATCTCGGCTGAGAAAGTTCTCGCTGTCTTCGTGATTTCCTTTGAAGTCTGCAAGCTGCCCTGGGGTCCTAAGTCTGCGTTGAGAAGACGTTGAGACCCTCTTGGACTTGGTCTGGCGATGATGGGATGTCTGGGGAGGCCGGTCGCTTCTTCTTCGAGGTAACAGACTGCGTCCCACGCTCCTCTACCGATGGGGTCTCTAGCAGAACACCAGACGGGAGGGGGTCGATCGCTAGCAGCTGACTGGATGGAATATCTGGACTATCGGCCATGTTTTGCCCTTGTTTGCGTGACCTATTTGCAGCACGTCTTAAGACGCAAAGATGATATTTATTAAATGCAGAATGAGATAAATTAATGCAGTAACTGCAACGTGAATCAAACGCACACGGCGTAGAACAACTAGGGCATATTACATGCGGATCAGAGGCAGAAAAACGTAATCTACAAATAGTACAGATTTTCATCAACGTAAAGCTAGCTGAACAATCACGAACACACGTGAATAAACAGTAGAAATACTGATAAATAATCAATACAAATTAGTGAAGGATACTAGCTATACCTCTATAGTAACCTAAGAGAGGTAAAAACTAAGAAAATATCAAAGGATATGGTGTGTAAGGAGACACGAGGCGCTCTCACATCCTGCTCACTGGGCGAAGAAGGAGAGAGTGAAGCACATGGCCAGAGGGTGGCGACACCTTTTCCTGCCAGGGGAACAAAGGGGAGCAACTCGTGGTGAGTACCAATTAGTGATTTTACATTGAAGGGAGCTTCAATTAAGGAGATACAAGTGTTCCACTATGTTCGGAAGAAGAAGAAGACAAGCAAAAGAGCATGAGTCAGGATAAGGAAAAATATCTTATCTACACAACAGCCTTGTGGAACATAGCTCATTACATTCAGAATATTGCAGTGACAGTAGTTGTGTGGAACATAGCTCAATACATTCAGAAAACTGGTGCTTGCAGTGGCAGTAGTTGTGTGGAACATAGCTCATTACATTCAGAATATTGCAGTGACAGCAGTTGTGTGGAACATAGCTCATTACATTCAGAATATTGCAGTGACAGTAGTTGTGTGGAACACAGCTCATTACATTCAGAATATTGCAGTGACAGTAGTTGTGTGGGACATAGCTCATTACATTCAGAATATTGTAGCAACACTAACATTGGAATCTAAGACCTGTTCATCAGCAACCTGACCACACATTAATATTGTTATTTTGAAATTCTTGCTTTGGATTTATGGATGTAAGACCAGATATCAAACAGTTCAATTTGACTGACTGACTGAGTTTGGTTTTACTCCGCTTTTAGCAATATTCAAGCAATATCACGACAGGGGACACCAGAAATGTGCTTCACTCATTGTACCCATGTGGGTTCAATTTGAGATTGTGACAGCAGGAGATATCCTTCAGTGGAGTTGTCGTAGCTATAGTTTGGCATGAAATGCAGTTTTTTGTAAATATCTCTTCATCCAATGACCCAATCGATCTCAAACTGTGCAAGTGGATGTTTTGTCAGACAACCTAATCACATTGTAAATCACCGATTTTATGCATTTGTATTAAAGAATCTGTCTATGTAACTGTCAACAAAATAAACAGCAGAACGCAGAAGGCTTGCAGAGGGAGGGAGCCAATGACCTGTAACAGCGGTAGTGTTGGGTCATAAAGGTAAATGCACGTGCAGTTCATGATAGTTACCTGTGCACTGCACAGTGATAGACCGTTTGGATCATTCACATTGACTACTTCTAGCTGTCATCATGAAAGCTTATTCAGATGATGCTCAACGTTTAACTAGCAATGTGTTTAATTTTTTTTAAAAGAGAGCAAACGTAGCAAACCGATTTATAAGGTGTCGGATTACATGAAACGTACAACTTTTGCTCTTGGCATGAAAAAGAACATCGTGCTAAAAACTGTGAAAAATAAACCAACAACCAATCAACAAAACCTTGTACAAAAAGGTAGGCATCCAAAGTTAGATTCTTTTGACATCAGGGTCATCAGCATAGCTGACCTACATTGACGAACGTTGACCTTCATGACCCAACGCTGCCGCTGTTACAGGTCATTGGCTCCCTCCCTCTGCAAGCCTTCAGCGTTCTGCTGTTTATTTTGTTGACAGTTACATAGACAGATTCTTTAATACTGGGTCCACATGCATTTCATGCCAAACTATAGGCCCCATGATGCTGACCTTCTCCAGGTCCTTGGTTTGAGTTGTGACAGTGGACCGCTGAAGGTTGTAGTTGTCTGACGCACTGTCCTTCTCTCGACACTTGTCTTTGTAATTTTTATGATTCTGAAAATCAAGACAGCATCATGAGATGTATCATATTCACCATAACAGCCTTGAGTGATTAAACGGCTGATAAACGGGCACTAAGTACAACCAAATATGAGCTAAACTTATATTCACAGTGGTAGTTAACAAACTTATGCTAAAAGGTCAATGAATCCACAACATTTTCAAAACAAAGAAAAATGCAATCATGTAAGAATGGAAAACCACACACGAGAGAATATTGATTGTCTTGAAACATTTGTTTGTTGTAAGAGCTGTTTGTATGAGTTGCTTGAACACTGGTCTATAGATCTGTCACAGGACACAGAGAGGACCGACCAGGGCACTGAATAAAACAAACATTCCACATATATCCACACCAGAACAGACCGAGCAGGAATACACACAGCACAATGTAGGATAGATTTATTCTAACCACACAGAGAGACAAGCTCGAAGTACGAGAGACCTATCCTAACCCCACAGAGAGACAAGCTCAAAGTACGAGAGACCTATCCTAAGCACATAGAGAGACAAGCTCAAAGTACGAGAGACCTATCCTAACCACACAGAGAGACAAGCTCGAGGTATGGGAGACCTATCCTAACCACACAGAGAGACAAGCTCAAAGTACGAGAGACCTATCCTAAGCACATAGAGAGACAAGCTCGAGGTATGGGAGACCTATCCTAAGCACATAGAGAGACAAGCTCGAGGTATGGGAGACCTATCCTAACCACACAGAGAGACAAGCTCAAAGTACGAGAGACCTATCCTAACCACACAGAGAGACAAGCTCGAGGTATGGGAGACCTATCCTAACCACACAGAGAGACAAGCTCAAAGTACGAGAGACCTATCCTAAGCACATAGAGAGACAAGCTCGAGGTATGGGAGACCTATCCAAAGCACATAAAGAGACAAGCTCGAGGTATGGGAGACCTATCCTAACCACACAGAGAGACAAGCTCGAAGTACGAGAGACCTATCCTAACCACACAGAGAGACAAGCTCGAGGTATGGGAGACCTATCCTAACCACACAGAGAGACAAGCTCAAAGTACGAGAGACCTATCCTAAGCACATAGAGAGACAAGCTCGAGGTATGGGAGACCTATAAGTCCTAGCAGGAATACACACAGCACAATGTAGGATAGATTTATTCTAACCACACAGAGAGACAAGCTCGAAGTACGAGAGACCTATCCTAACCCCACAGAGAGACAAGCTCAAAGTACGAGAGACCTATTCTAAGCACATAGAGAGACAAGCTCGAAGTATGAGAGACCTATGCTAACCCCACAGAGAGACAAGCACAATGTAGGAGATACCTATTCTAACCACTTAGACAGACAAGCTCGAAGTTTCGAGAGACCTATTCTAAGCACATAGAGACATGCAGGAGGTATGAGAGACCTATTCTAAGCACATAGAGACATGCAGGAGGTATGAGAGACCTATTCTAAGCACATAGAGAGACAAGCTCGGGGTATGGGATAAGACTTGCACACAGAGACATGCAGGAGGTATGAGATACCTATTCTAATCACATTGAGACATGCAGGAGGTACGAGAGACCTATTCTAAGCACACAGAAACATGCAGGAGGTATGAGATACCTATTCTAAGCACACAGAGACATGCAGGAGGTACGAGAGACCTATTCTAAGCACACAGAGACATGCAGGAGGTACGAGAAACCTATTCTAAGCACACAGGGAGACAAGCTCGAGGTATGAGAGACCTGTTCTAAGCACACAGAGACATGCAAGAGGTATGAGAGACCTATTCTAAGCACACATAGACATGCAGGAGGTATGAGAGACTTATTCTAAGCACACAGAGACATGCAGGAGGTATGAGAAACTTATTCTAAGCACACAGAGACATGCATGAGGTATGAGAGACTTATTCTAAGCACATAGAGAGACAAGCTCGAGGTATGAGATACCTATTCTAGCACATAGAGAGACAAGCAGGAGGTATGAGAGACCTGTTCTAAGCACATAGAGAGACAAGTTCGAGGTATGAGATACCTATTCTAAGCACACAGGGAGACAAGCTCGAGGTGTGGGATACCTGTTCTAAGCACACGAAAACATGCAGGAGGTATGAGATACCTATTCTAAGCACATAGAGAGACAAGCTCGAGGCATGAGATACCTATTCAAAGCACACAGGGAGACAAGCTCGAGGTATGGCAGACTTATTCTAAGCACATAGAGACAAGCTCAAGGTATGAGATACCTGTTCTAAGCACATAGAGAGACAAGCATGAGGTATGGGATACCTGTTCTAAGCACACAGGGAGACAAGCTAGAGGTACAAGAGACCTATTCTAAGCACACAGAGGCATGCAGGAGGTATGAGATACCTATTCTAAGCACATAGAGAGACAAGCTTGAGGTATGAGATACCTGTTCTAAGCACATAGAGAGACATGCTTGAGGTACAAGAGACCTAATCTAAGCACACAGAGACATGCAGGAGGTATGAGATACCTATTCTAAGCACATAGAGAGACAAGCTCGAGGTACAAGAGACCTATTCTAAGCACACACAGACATGCAGGAGGTACGAGAAACCTATTCTAAGCACACAGGGAGACAAGCTCGAGGTATGAGAGACCTGTTCTAAGCACACAGGGACATGCAAGAGGTATGAGAGACCTGTTCTAAGCACACAGAGACATGCAAGAGGTATGAGAGACCTATTCTAAGCACACATAGACATGCAGGAGGTATGAGAGACTTATTCTAAGCACACAGAGACATGCAGGAGGTATGAGATACTTATTCTAAGCACACAGAGACATGCATGAGGTATGAGAGACTTATTCTAAGCACATAGAGAGACATGCAGGGGTATAAGATACCTGTTCTAAGCACATAGAGAGACAAGCTTGAGGTATGAGATACCTGTTCTAAGCACAAAGAGAGACAAGCAGGAGGTATGAGATACCTGTTCTATGCACATAGAGACAAGCTCGAGGTACAAGAGACCTATTCTAAGCACACAGAGACATGCAGGAGGTATGAGAGACCTATTCTAAGCACACAGAGACATGCAGGAGGTATGAGATACCTGTTCTAAGCATACAGAGAGACAAGCTCGAGGTGTGAGATACCTATTCTAAGCACATAGAGAGACAAGCTCGAGGTATGAGATACCTATTCTAAGCACACATTGAGACAAGCTCGAGGTATGAGATACCTATTCTAAGCACACATGGAGACAAGCTCGAGGTATGGGAGACTTATTCTAAGCACATAGAGACATGCAGGAGGTATGAGAGACTTATTCTAAGCACATAGGAAGAAGTACTGGGTACATATCCTGAACAGGAACCCACTGGGAGAGTTAGGCAAGATGACGATGGTGGTAGAACTTACATTCATACATCGTGAATACAAGCTGTTCTTGTTGCTCTGATACTTTTTCACAGTTTCTTCCATCTGAAAAACAAGAAAACGGATTTTACTTTGTTCACCTGTGATCAACATGTTTGCAAACAGACACATATACGTATGATATTCAGTTGTTGTTAACCACAGCTTTGTGTGATGTCTTTATCTGTTGTATTAAATTAAAGATGATTTTGCTGAATCCAGATCAGCCAATCCCCACAACTAGATCTGGGTCCCATTCCTCAAAGCGATCGTAGCGCTAAGGTGATCGTAACTCCCATACTTTAACATAGAATTACGACAGTCGTAGCGCTACGATCGCTTTGAGGAACGGGGCCCTGGAACGGAGACTTGTCAACCCTTTGGCAAACTTAGAAAAGACAAAATGGTTGCGACAGATGCCAAGTGAGCCATGTGGCTGAGTTATTTATTGTGCTACTGTGTTTCAAGTGAATTACATTACTCCTGTTGACAATCGGTTGGTGGTGTGGGTGTTTTATTTAGACAAGTTCCATCAAGACTGAAAATTCTCAGCTATTAACTCAATCCATGAAAACTGGCAAGAACATACAGCTTTCTTTTTTGTAGTCTGGGCCTCGTTGAACTTCTTGACGTCGTCCATCTGCTTCAGAAAGTTGGCAGCTGCATCCTGGTGGATCTGCACCATCTTCTCCATCTCCTCCTTCAGCTTGTTCCAGGACTTCTCCAGAACTCTATAACAGGACAAGACACTCAGACTTTATACAACCAGACACTCAGACGGTCAACAACAAGACCAGGCATTCTCCACTTGCTCCTTCAGCTTGTTCCAGGACTTCTCCAGAAACCTATAACAAGAGACCCTCAGACACTCTTCAAGACACTCAGATGCTCTACAACAAGACCTTCAGACTCTCTATAACAAGACCCTCAGACTCCCTACAACAAGACCCTCAGACTCTACAACAAGACCCTCACGCTCTACAATAAGACCCTCAGACTCTACAACAAGATGCTCAGACGCCCTACAACAAGACCCTCAGTCAACACCAAAACACTCTAGCAGTCAACAACAAGACCCTCAGATGGTCATCAACCAGACACTCAGACATTCTCCACCAAAACCAGACAGTCTACAACAAGAAACTGAGATGCTCTACAGTAAGACTCTTTAAAAGGAAAAGAAACACTCAAGCTACATGAAGATCAGTATGTACAAGACGCTCAGTCACTCCAGAACAAGACTGTGAGTCGCTCTAGAACAAGACACTCAGTCACTCTAGAACAAGACACTGAGTCACTCTAGAACAAGACACTGAGTCACTCTAGAACAAGACACTGAGTTGCTCTAGAACAAGACACTGAGTTGCTCTAGAACAAGACACTGAGTTGCTCTAGAACAAGACACTGAGTTGCTCTAGAACAAGACACTGAGTTGCTCTAGAACAAGACACTGAGTTGCTCTAGAACAAGACACTGAGTTCACTCTAGAACAAGACACTGAGTCACTCTAGAACAAGACACTGAGTTGCTCTAGAGTTTGCTCTAGAACAAGACACTGAGTTGCTCTAGAACAAGACACTGAGTCACTCTAGAACAAGACACTGAGTTGCTCTAGAACAAGACACTGAGTCACTCTAGAACAAGACACTGAGTGAGTTGCTCTAGAACAAGACACTGAGTTGCTCTAGAACAAGACACTGAGCACTCTAGAACAAGACACTGAGTTGCACTCGAACAAGACACTGAGTTGCTCTAGAACAAGACACTGAGTCACTCTAGAACAAGACACTGAGTTGCTCTAGAACAAGACACTGAGTTGCTCTAGAACAAGACACTGAGTGCTCTAGAACAAGACACTCAGTCACTCTAGAACAAGACACTGAGTTGCTCTAGAACAAGACACTGAGTTGCTCTAGAACAAGACACTCAGTTGCTCTAGAACAAGACACTGAGTTGCTCTAGAACAAGACACTGAGTTGCTCTAGAACAAGACACTCAGTCTCTCTAGAACAAGACACTCAGTCAAGACACTGAGTCACTCTCTAGAACAAGACACTGAGTTGCTCTAGAACAAGACACTCAGTCACTCTAGAACAAGACACTGAGTCTAGAACAAGACACTTCTAGAACAAGACACTGAGTCACTCTAGAACAAGACACTCAGTCACTCTAGAACAAGACACTGAGTCACTCTAGAACAAGACACTCAGTCACTCTAGAACAAGACACTCAGTCACTCTAGAACAAGACACTCAGTCACTCTAGAACAAGACACTCAGTCACTCTAGAACAAGACACTCAGTCACTCTAGAACAAGACACTGAGTCACTCTAGAACAAGACACTGAGTCACTCTAGAACAAGACACTGAGTTGCTCTAGAACAAGACACTGAGTCACTCTAGAACAAGACACTGAGTTGCTCTAGAACAAGACACTGAGCTGCAGACACTCACTCTAGAACAAGACACTGAGTTGCTCTAGAACAAGACTCTAGAACACTGAGTCACTCTAGAACAAGACACTGAGTTGCTGAACAAGACACTCAGTTGCACTCTAGAACAAGACACTGAGTTGCTCTAGAACAAGACACTCAGTCTAGAACAAGACTCTAGAACAAGACACTCAGTTGCTCTAGAACAAGACACTGAGTTGCTCTAGAACAAGACACTGAGTTGCTCTAGAACAAGACACTGAGTCACTCTAGAACAAGACACTCAGTCACTCTAGAACAAGACACTGAGTTGCTCTAGAACAAGACACTGAGTCACTCTAGAACAAGACACTGAGTTGCTCTAGAACAAGACACTGAGTTGCTCTAGAACAAGACACTGAGTTGCTCTAGAACAAGACACTGAGTTGCACTGAACAAGTTGCTCTAGAAGAAGACACTGAGTCACTCTAGAACAAGACACTGAGTTGCTCTAGAACAAGACACTGAGTCACTCTAGAACAAGACACTGAGTTGCTCTAGAACAAGACACTGAGTCACTCTAGAACAAGACACTGAGTCACTCTAGAACAAGACACTGAGTTGCTCTAGAACAAGACACTGAGTTGCTCTAGAACAAGACACTGAGTTGCTCTAGAACAAGACACTCTCTAGTCAAGACTCTAGAACAGAACAAGACACAGTCACTCTAGAGACAAGACACTCAGTCACTCTAGAACAAGACACTGAGTTGCTCTAGAACAAGACACTGAGTTGCTCTAGAGACAAGACACTCAGTCTCTCAGAACAAGACTCTGCTCTAGAACAAGACACTGAGTCACTCTAGAACAAGACACTGAGTTGCTCTAGAACAAGACACTCAGTCACTCTAGAACAAGACACTGAGTCACTCTAGAACAAGACACTGAGTTGCTCTAGAACAAGACACTGAGTCACTCTAGAACAAGACACTGAGTCACTCTAGAACAAGACACAAGACACTGAGTTACTCTAGAACAAGACACTGAGTTGCTCTAGAACAAGACACTCAGTCAGAACAAGACACTCTAGAACAAGACACTGAGTCACTCTAGAACAAGACACTGAGTTGCTCAAGAACAAGAACAAGACACTGAGTTGCTCTAGAACAAGACACTGAGTCACTCTAGAACAAGACACTGAGTTGCTCTAGAACAAGACACTCAGTCACTCTAGAACAAGACACTCAGTTGCTCTAGAACAAGACACTGAGTTGCTCTAGAACAAGACACTGAGTCAAGACACTGAGTTGCTCTAGAACAAGACACTGAGTTGCTTCTAGAACAGAACAAGACACTCAGTCACTCACTGAGTCTCTAGAACAAGACACTCAGTCACTCTAGAACAAGACACTAGAACAAGACACTGAGTCACTAGAACTCTAGAACAAGACACTCAGTCACTCTAGAACAAGACACTCAGTCACTCTAGAACAAGACACTCAGTTGCTCTAGAACAAGACACTGACTGAGTCACTCTAGAACAAGACTCTAGAACAAGACACTGAGTTGCTCTAGAACAAGACACTCAGTTGCTCTAGAGTTGACTCTAGAACAAGACACTGAGTCACTCTAGAACAAGACACTGAGTCACTCTAGAACAAGACACTGAGTTGCTCTAGAACAAGACACTGAGTTGCTCTAGAACAAGACACTCAGTCACTCTAGAACAAGACACTGAGTCTGCTCTAGAACAAGACACTGAGTTGCTCTAGAACAAGACACTCAGTTGCTCTAGAACAAGACACTGAGTTGCTCTAGAACAAGACACTCAGTCAGCTCTAGAACAAGACACTCAGTCTAGAACAAGACACTGAGTTGCTCTAGAACAAGACACTCAGTCACTCTAGAACAAGACACTGAGTCACTCTAGAACAAGACACTGAGTCACTCTAGAACAAGACACTCAGTCACTCTAGAACAAGACACTGAGTTGCTCTAGAACAAGACACTGAGTCTCTAGAACAAGACACTGAGTCACTCTAGAACAAGACACTGAGTCACTCTAGAACAAGACACTCAGTCACTCTAGAACAAGACACTGAGTCACTCTAGAACAAGACACTGAGTTGCTCTAGAACAAGACACTCTAGAAGTTTGCTCTAGAGACAAGACACAGAACAAGACACTGAGTCTAGAACAAGACACTGAGTCACTCTAGAACAAGACACTCAGTTGCTCTAGAACAAGACACTGAGTCACTCTAGAACAAGACACTCTGAGTCACTCTAGAACAAGACACTCAGTCACTCTAGAACAAGACACTGAGTTGCTCTAGAACAAGACACACAGAACTCTAGAACAAGACACTGAGTTGCTCTAGAACAAGACACTCAGTCACTCTAGAACAAGACACTGAGTTGCTCTAGAACAAGACACTCTAGAACAAGACACTGAGTCAAGACACTGAGTCACAAGAGAACAAGAGTCACTCTAGAACAAGACACTGAGTCACTCTAGAACAAGACACTGAGTTGCTCTAGAACAAGACACTCAGTCACTCTAGAACAAGACACTGAGTTGCTCTAGAACAAGACACTCAGTCACTCTAGAACAAGACACTGAGTCACTCTAGAACAAGACACTGAGTCACTCTAGAACAAGACACTCGCTCTAGAGAACTCTCTAGAACAAGACACTGAGTTGCTCTAGAACAAGACACTCTAGAACAAGACACTCACTCTAGAACAAGACACTGAGTTGCTCTAGAACAAGACACTGAGTTGCTCTAGAACAAGACACTGAGTTGCTCTAGAACAAGACACTGAGTTGCTCTAGAACAAGACACTGAGTCACTCTAGAACAAGACACTGAGTCACTCTAGAACAAGACACTGAGTTGCTCTAGAACAAGACACTGAGTCACTCTAGAACAAGACACTGAGTCACTCTAGAACAAGACACTGAGTCACTCTAGAACAAGATCAGGAACTCCACAAGAAGAAGAGACACTCATGATGATCTACTGTTCCAGACAAGAGAGTCAGACACTCCAGGAAAAGATCAGGCACTCTGAATCAAGATCAAACTGTCCCTGCAACAATCAGACACTCTGCACACAAAACAGCCACCCCTTTGACAAAAGTGGAAATTACTACACTGTTGCCATTAGGGTTGGCTATCGATATAGATCACAGAACTTGATAATCATTCACTAAATATTGATAAATTATCAATAGATAGCGAGCAAACATGAAACAAATAAATATATTTCACATCACTGTCAGTTACTGTCTGTCACTACCACACGTATCCTACTGCCTTTCTAGTGATGTTTGATTTGAACACAAAACTACATTTACAATATTTAATTATTTCCTTGCTGTTTAAGGACTTATTTCCGCTCAGCTTATTGTTTCAACATAACAATGAAAACAATGGAAACTGATAAGTGGAAAACTTAGCCCTCATAGTGATGGCCATGACGGTAAAACATCAATCCAGTAGGTCAAGTGCTTTGTCCAGCTCTGTTGAGAACAATATGTGGTTGTCTATTGTTGTCCAGCTCTGTTGAGAACAACATGTGGTTCTCTATTGTTGTCCAGCTGTTGACAACAACATGTGGTTGTCTATTGTTGTCCAGCTGTTGTCAACAACATGTGGTTGTCTATTGTTGTCCAGCTGTTGACAACAACATGTGGTTGTCTATTGTTGTCCAGCTCTGTTGACAACAACATGTGGTTGTCTATTGTTGTCCAGCTCTGTTGAGAACAACAACATGTGGTTGTCTATTGTTGTCCAGCTCTGTTGACAACAACATGTGGTTGTCTATTGTTGTCCAGCTGTTGACAACAACATGTGGTTGACAACAATACTATTGTTGTCCAGCTGTTGACAACAACATGTGGTTGTCTATTGTTGTCCAGCTGTTGACAACAACATGTGGTTGTCTATTGTTGTCCAGCTGTTGACAACAACATGTGGTTGTCTATTGTTGTCCAGCTGTTGACTATGGTTGTCCAGCTATTGTTGTCCAGCTGTTGAGAACACAACAACATGTGGTTGTCTATTGTTGTCCAGCTCTGTGACAACAACATGTGGTTGTCTATTGTTGTCCAGCTCCAGCCAACATGTGATTGTTGTCCAGCATGTGGTTGTCTATTGTTGTCCAGCTCTGTTGACAACAACACGTTGTTGTCTATTGTTGTCCAGCTCTGTTGACAACAACATGTGGTTGTCTATTGTTGCAAAAGTCCATCACCAAATATGACACATCTTCTGCTGAAGTATGGGGGAATGTATCAAAAGCATTTTTAGCTATTTACATGTACGTTCTAATGAAGGATACAATGAGAGGTGACTAGTACCCAGGGTAGAATATCCAGGGTAGAATATCCAGGGTAGAATATCCAGGGTAGAATATCCAGGGTAGAATATCCAGGGTAGAATATCCAGGGTAGAATATCCAGGGTAGAATATCAGGATCCCAGCTGGCCCCACTCATTAAACAAATTTTTAATTAATTAATCCCACGCTAATCGGGCACACGTGTTGTCTCCGTAAATATAGTACTGGACAGGGGATCGAACAATAGCCCCAGATCAGCAGAACAATGAATGCAAAGATTGTGAAAAGATTTGGCGTGTTTGGAGAATGTCCGATCTGGCTGATGTGCTTGAGTGACTTTAAACAATGACCAGTGATTGTAACCAGTGATAATACCATGCGGTTTGAGCTACCTGTAATGAGGAAGTGACCTGTATTGGTGTAATGTGTAGTGTCAACACTTCCGCTATTGTTACATAATTTACCGATGAATAAGTTCAATGGATATCAATTAGTGTCACGGATATTAGTGTTCATTTGTAAATTAATTCAGGAAGATGTCTGAATTGTTGTGATAGTCTGTATGGTTATGATGATTGCTAACCTGAAGACAATAAAGACGAGAAGAGATTTACATTTTCTGTCTTTTATTAAGTTCTCAAAAGGAGACATGGTAGGACTGAAATGCGTCATTATAATATAATGTGAGAAGAGTGCAGAGTCATTTTTCGCATTAATAAATTGCTCGCACTAATTTCCTGCTTATCTAATCACTCACCCTATGTCATCTTTCAGCTTCATGTTTCTCTCCAGTTTATGCAAGTCTTTCGAGTACCTGTTCTCTGCCTCGTACCTGAAACACAAACATACAACATCAAGCAGGACAACAGACCAGACTTTCTACTGATTCACATAATTACTGCAACCCATACAACATCAAGCAGGACGACAGACCAGACTTTCTACTGATTCACATAATTACTGCAACCCATACAACATCAAGCAGGACAACAGACCAGACTTTCTACTGATTCACATAATTACTGAAACCCATACAACATCAAGCAGGACGACAGACCAGACTTTCTACTGATTCACATAATTACTGCAACCCATACAACATCAAGCAGGACCACAGACCAGACTTTCTACTGATTCACATAATTACTGCAACCCATACAACATCAAGCAGGACGACAGACCAGACTTTCTACTGATTCACATAATTACTGCAACCCATACAACATCAAGCAGGACAACAGACCAGACTTTCTACTGATTCACATAATTACTGAAACCCATACAACATCAAGCAGGACAACAGACCAGACTTTCTACTGATTCACATAATTACTGCAACCCATACAACATCAAGCAGGACGACAGACCAGACTTTCTACTGATTCACATAATTACTGCAACCCATACAGCATCAACCAGGACGACAGACCAGACTTTCTACTGATTCACATAATTACTGCAACCCATACAACATCAAGCAGGACAACAGACCAGACTTTCTACTGATTCACATAATTACTGCAACCCATACAACATCAAGCAGGACAACAGACCAGACTTTCTACTGATTCACATAATTACTGCAACCCATACAACATCAAGCAGGACAACAGACCAGACTTTCTACTGATTCACATAATTACTGCAACCCATACAACATCAAGCAGGACAACAGACGAGACTTTCTACTGATTCACATAATTACTGCAACCCATACAACATCAAGCAGGACGACAGACCAGACTTTCTACTGATTCACATAATTACTGCAACCCATACAACATCAAGCAGGACAACAGACCAGACTTTCTACTGATTCACATAATTACTGCAACCCATACAACATCAAGCAGGACAACAGACCAGACTTTACTCAAGCACTGATTCACATAATTACTGAAACCCATACAACATCAAGCAGGACGACAGACCAGACTTTCTACTGATTCACATAATTACTGCAACCCATACAACATCAAGCAGGACAACAGACCAGACTTTCTACTGATTCACATAATTACTGCAACCCATACAACATCAAGCAGGACAACAGACCAGACTTTCTACTGATTCACATAATTACTGCAACCCATACAACATCAAGCAGGAAGTCAGACCAGACTTTCTACTGATTTACATAATTACTGCAACCCATACAACATCAAGCAGGACAACAGACCAGACTTTTTCTACTGATTCACATAATTACTGCAACCCATACAACATCAAGCAGGACAACAGACCAGACTTTCTACTGATTCACATAATTACTGCAACCCATACAACATCAAGCAGGACGACAGACCAGACTTTCTACTGATTCACATAATTACTGCAACCCATACAGCATCAACCAGGACGACAGACCAGACTTTCTACTGATTCACGTAATTACTGCAACCCATACAACATCAAGCAGGACGACAGACTAGACTGATTCACTGCAACCCATGACAACATCAAGCAGGACGACAGACCAGACTGATTCACTGCAACCCATGACAACCTGGGGTAGATTCGCCGACTTAGTTGATGCATGTCATTATGATATTCCACCAGATTGCTGCTCATGATGGCAGTCACTGGATTGTGTGGTTCATGTAGAAGGCGATGTTGTTGAGTGAAGCTTTAAACAACAAACGAAACTACCCAGAAACACAGCAAGGTCAACTTCTTTATTGCAATGAGTGCGTCGACATTTCGGTGGAGGTACCAGCACCATCACTAAGCAAGTGATACACAGAGTTGAAACAAGGAGAATATATACATAGCAGCATAGTGGGTATGTACAATTGACAAGGTTGATATACACTGGAAATCTAATTAGGGATTTGAGCAGAGCAGGTTGATGTACAGAGTGATTGGTTGTTATTAAAGGTTGACTCTAATAACCTTGATCATGATTTATGGTGGGGTTGAAGCATCGGGTTTTTATGGCTTCAAGGAGTTTCCTAATCTTGTAGTCTGCTCGATGATCTCCAGGACGTCGAGGTTCTTCCATAGGAGGGCACGGTCAGAGTTGGCTTGACTGCGGTCACCTATGGAGAATTTAGTGTTTTTTTCTGAAGTTTTGTGTTCTTAAATTCAAAGTGGGAGCGGGAGGGATGTTTCGCCAATAGAGAAGTCTCCGCATTGACAACGAATCTGGTAGACTACTCCCGAGGGATCATCTTTTCTTGTTGTCGGTGGTTTGCCTGTGGCTTGGAGGTGGTGCTGGATGGACTTGCCTTTCTGGAACAGAACGTCTATACCTGCTTGCTGCTGAAGTAGTCATCTTATCTGGTGGCTGACTGCTGGGATACATGGGACACTTATTAAGAAGGGTGCTGATTGCTCACGTCTCTTTTTATTGAAGGGAGCTTCAATAGGAGATACAAGTGTTCCACTAAAATTCGCAAGAGGAAGGAGACAAGCAATAAGCATGAGGATAAGGAAAAAATCATTTTTACCTTTAATTTTTACAAATTTTTCACACTGTCATAACATTAATGTTTTACACAATTTACCGACATTTACGTTAATTTAGCTTAGTGTCCAGCAGCTGACCGGAACTCCAGTGGTGTCTTCACCCCAGATGTCATCTGATCCTTGAGTCGCGTGCCTCTAGTCCAGTTCTGTATACTGCCTGTTGCGGGGTGGGGGACGGGCACCACACGTCGTAGACATTCATAGGTGCGGCGTTGACGGTTTGGCAGTACACAGGAGACCAGCTGGGTCATCGTCCATCTCTGCTTGTTGAGTGTCAGCTCTTCATGGAATGGAAGGACTTGTCTGTTGCCGCTTCATCTCTATCTCAAAATCTCCTCAACATAAAAGACATGTACTGGCGTCGTCTCAGCCTTTACCCGCTGCCGCAGAACACTGGCAATCTTCAGAGCTACCTGATCTTCCAGCCGTGGGGGGTTGTGTGGGGACTGATTCCGGTCAAACTTCCTGACAGTAGTACACTTGCCGAGGCAGCGCCACACTTCCAGCCCCACACTTCCAGCCCCACACTTCCAGGCACACACTTCCAGCCCCACACTTCCAGGCACACACTTCCAGTCCTCACACTTCCAGGCCCACACTTCCAGTCACACACTTCCAGCCCCACACTTCCAGGCACACACTTCCAGCCCCACACTTCCAGCTCCTCACACTTCCAGCCCCACACTTCCAGCTCCACGCACTTCCAGCCACACTTCCAGCCCCACACTTCCAGCCCCACACCTCCCCCACACTTCCAGCCCCACACTTCCAGCCCCACACTCTTCCAGGCACACACTTCCAGCCCCACACTTCCAGGCACACACACTTCCAGCCCCACACTTCCAGGCACGCACTTCCAGGCCCCGTGACTTCCAGCCCCACACTTCCAGCCCCACACTCCCCCACTTCCTCCAGCCCACACTTCCAGGCACGCTCCACTCCAGCCCTCACACACTCCAGCCCCACACCCCAAGCCCCACCTTCCAGCCCCACACTTCCAGTACCCTTAATCAGGCACACTTCCAGCCCCACACTTCCAGGCACCACACTTCCAGCCCCACACCTTCCTCCACACTTCCAGCCCCACACTTCCAGGCCCACACTTCCAGCCCCACACTTCCAGCCCCATACTTCCAGCCCCACACTCCAGGCACACTTCCAGGCACACACTTCCAGCCCCACACTTCCAGCCCCACACTTCCAGCCCCACACTTCCAGCCACACACTTCCAGCCCCACACTTCCAGCCCCAAGCACTTCCAGCCCCACACTTCCAGCCCCTACCAAGACTTCCAGCCCACACTTCCAGCCACACACCTTCCAGGTCCACACTTCCAGCCCCACACTTCCAGGCCACACTTCCCCACCTTTCCAGCCCACACTTCCAGCCCCACACATCCAGCCCTTTTTACACTTCCAGCACACACTTCCAGCCCCACACTTCCAGCCCACACCTCCCACACTTCCAGCCCTACCACTTCCAGGCACACACTTCCAGCCCCACACTTCCAGGCCCACACTTCCAGCGCCCACACTTCTCCAGGCCCACACTTCCAGCCCCATTACTTCCAGCCCCACACCTCCAGGCACACACTTCCAGCTCCTATTACTTCCAGCCCTTACACCTTCCAGCCTCACACTTCCAGGTGCATACACTTTCTGGCAGCCCAGCCCCCACACTTCCAGCTCCCACACTTCCAGTCCCACACTTCCAGGCTTCCATACTCCCAGCCCTCCTTCTTACTTCTGTGCACTTCCAGCTACGCACTTCTCTCTAGCTCCCAAAGCACTCTCCAGCCCCCTATGCACCTCCAGCCTCTACACTCCCCTTCACACTTCCAGCTCCCAGCCCCACACTTCCTAGCCCCACACTTCCTCCAGGCACACACTCTCCAGTCCTACACTTCCCAGGTACCCACTTCCTTCCACACTCCCACACCTTCCAGCTCCCAGACCTCTCCAATCCTCAAGACTCCCCAGACCTTACAGCCCCCACACTTCCAGCTCCCATTACCTCTCCACCCCACTTCCAGGTTCCCAGCCCCTACACCTTCCAGCCCCTCAGACTCTCCAGCCTCCCAGACTTCCAGGCACACACTTCTCCAGCCCCACACTTCTGTTTCCAGGCACACACACACTTCCAGCCCCACACTCCCTCACACACCCAGCCCCACATCTTCTTGTGTGCACCCACTTCCCAGCCCCAAGACTTCCAGCCTCAAACTTCCAGCCCCATTACTTCCCAGCCCCACACTTCCAGCCCCACACTCTCCAGGCACACACTTCCAGCCCCACACACTTCCAGCCCCACACATCCAGCCCCACACTTCCAGGCCCTACTCTTCCAGCCTCCCACACCTCCAGC